GCAAAATACTGCGCCGCAAGATGGATAGGTTGGTTTGTTAAGATCCATTCCAGCCGATACGTCACGCTCTGAATCTTATGAACACTGCATGTGACAAAAAGATATCGGGCACAAAAATGCTTCTTCTGGAGATGACAAACCGGGGAACGGAAACGGAAGCACCGTGAAACCATCTTCCTAAAAGAACCACTGAATCAGAATAGCGTGTTTATAGTGTACTGAAACACTTTGGGGTTTCTTTCAAACGCGTCTCACTTCTTAGTGTATACTTAACTGAAGACGCCATTCCGTGGGAATATTCTGACCGCTGCAAAGCTGGCATTTGTTTAAAGAAACATTCCTTTAAATGTTTCCTTGGTAACTTACAATTTCTGTCGTTGAAAAATCACGAACAGTTTAGATTTAACTTTTCAGAGACAGCGGGAGAAGTTTCTTTCACTGATCTTCCCAAACTTCATACAGATTGGGCGAGATATCTCGTGCATAACATGGAAAGGGTTAAATCTGGTAATGGAATCTTCGCAAAGATGCAAGCCTATCTATTACATGTAACTTTATTACAGTTTGGGACGCCTGTTAGTTTACTCAAAACCCTAAATATATATACAGTGTTAAATACGTGTAAGTAAATAGTCCATCTAGTGAACTGTTAAGTAGTGTTAATTCAAACAGAATTTGTAGCCATTTGTAAGATAGATATTTCATGTTACTTACATAATGTTCAACAGAAGTTAAAGTTTTGTAAGGGGTTTCCCCTGTTTTCTATAGACCCTCGAAGTAAATTCTGAAATCGTTAGGTAATATAAGCCAGATCGTTTCCTTCCACATTGTCCCGGTATTATCATTTACAATAATCTCTACTACAAGCCATACAGCATATAGCCTACAGCTGATGAAGGCCGCGCCATAGCTCAAGCGGTTAGTCGCTGGCTTCGCACTGCGGCGGCTCGGGTTCGCGCCCGGGTCTGGTCAAGTGGGATTTATGGTGGACAAAGTGGCGCTGGAGCAGGTTTTCTCCGAGTACTTCGGTTTCCTCTGCCAATCTTCATTCCACCAATTGCTCCACAATCACCCTCACCTATCATCTGGGGCTGGTACAATAGGCCAGAAGTGGCCCCAGTACAAGGGACTTAGTCCCACCCCACTAGCAATAAAAAATACTGTTGATGAAATTTCGTCAAATAGAAAAAGAAAAAATATATGATTTGATATTGTCGAGGCAATGATCATTAGACACGAAACCCGGCATGTACGCGATTGATATTAGAATTTTCTAGAGCAAGTATATTCAGTAATGATGTAGGAATTCTTTATCCTAAATAGAAGTAATTAACTAACCGACTAGCCGGTTAACTCCATGGCATAGAGTCCTTCTTGAATATTTAGTAGCCACTCAGCTAATCAACAACATTTTCGTCTCTTACAGATATGAGACCCGGAAGTACATTGCGTGTTCTTAATATCCCCGCTACTGGCCCCTATATTGAACGAAATTAATCGAGTTCATATCTCACACTCCAGGTTTTCATGTCTTGAGACCAAAATTTTTTGTGCGTGTCTTACCTCTTTGATGCGTCCTGCATTCCAACGCATCTCATTGTCCTTGGAGAACGTTTTGAAGAATTTAAGAGTAAAATTATTTTATCTTTGCTCAAAATTATTATTGCATCTGCAAGAAATTTTAAATTTATCTCTGTATATTGTTACTATTAACGGTTTCTGAAATTATTTTGAACCACCCTATTTCTCGAGCACATCCTTAAAAGAACATGACACGAATTTGGTTCGCAGGATACTGGAATAATATTTAGTTTGTGGTCTCTCAAAGTAAGGCATACTCGATTTTACAACAGCAGCATCATACCTATTTCTCGCTCCGGTAGCGGAAAATCATGAACAAAAAAGGGACTCAGTGTGGCCTTTGTTTTTAGCTGCCTAAGCCTACCAAGTGGTCGTTTGCCTTCTTGTTTATTCCAAAGAAATTATACAAGTTTTCTTAATGCAGGAGTTCCAGAACTCGTTTTGTTTTACAGAAAATTACTCGGGAAACAAAAATAAAAATCTACAAAATTGTATCTTAAAATCCAAGCAGAACGGCGAAGCGGTTGTACTACATTTGTGCTGTGCCTGTGCGCTGGTTAAATCTCTCTAGGCGAATGCTGGATAGCGCGTTCAAAGAACGCATGCACCGCTTCCTTCCAAATCCTTACATATTCACCACTCATCACTCTCTTATCTTTAAAATTTAAATATTCTTGTTAAATAGCCTGATAATCGTTATCTTGCCTCAAAATTGGATGCGTTAATTATTTGAGGGCGATAATTTTCGGTAAATATGCCAAATTCCCAACACTTCGTTCCACGATACATTTCGCATTAATCAACAGCACTGGCACTATACTCTTTAATCGGCCACGGTACACGTCTTAACATAGAAGATGCAACTCAAATTATCATAATGCAGTACTAGAATAGACAGAACATTTAATGTGAGAGATGATAGCACATGTAACACCTTTATAATTTGATAGACCAAGACATGACACTTATACAAAACTGTAGCACAAGAAACTTACAAAAGCACATTATCAGAATATGGTAGGCCATGACTGCACCACGTACCGAGCTGTAGACGACAGAATGAACCGCGCGCTGTTCTGGCACTGCGAACTCCGAACATCATTCTCGTCAAGTCGGAGAGAGGATGTGACGTCATGCGACCATAAGAACCGCGGTCTTGTCTCAAAACCGATGCACGATTATTTTGAAATATGTCTCGAAATCGTCTATTTTCTAAGTGAAATATTTGTAACTGGAGCTTCATGCCTTGAAGAATTGCAAAATAGTTGCACTGCCCAGGACGACGCTAAGTAAACAGTACATACCACCTTACTTACTCATGGAGCTGAGCCCTTCTTGAGGAGCCGCCAATTCTGCAGCTGCTCAAGAATTTCCCAGCATTTTATGGAACCTGAAGGTTCATTGCCGTGTTCACAAGCGCCCTCCATTGGTCCCTATCCTGAGCCAGATTTGTCCAATCCATACCATCCAATCCTATCTCTCTAAGATCCATTTTAATATTGTCCACCCACCTACGCCTTGGTCTTGCCAGTGGTCTCTTTCCTTCTGGCTTTCCCACTAAGTATATACCACCAATATCACAAAATTTTGGGGAGGGCAAAACCCGATATATTTTAAGCAATACGAATTCACAAAATCAGGTACATTGTAATGATTAAGTAGACTTACTTGGTTCAGGACAAAGACCAGTGACGGGCTCTTGAGAACACCGTGTATAGCTTCAGGATTCTACAGAATGCGTGAAGATTCTTGACTAGCAGGGCGTCTATTGGCTTCTCAAGGACTTTATTCCATGAAGTTTGTTAACGACTGACTTGAAGACTAATGCCACTGTAGTCCTAGTACTAGTTACAGACTAGTGTCGTGGTAGTTATATATTTCTAGCACTTTCTGAGTGCTCGTAATTTGTCGAATATAACGTAACATAAACAAACACCTTATCGTGGTGAGGGTGTTTGAGTATGCCAAGGACCCTGAGAGCTATACCAGCGGTAGCGTAGCTACTGGCAGGGCCTCCCTTGCTGGACAGGTCAAAGGGTAGGCATCAGACGAAGAGAGACACCGAAAACTGATGCCGGAAGCAGCGTCATCAGCGGCGACTTGAAGCACAGAGAAAATGATGCTCGAGATGGTTCAAGTTCGTATAGCAACAGGCGTGACCAGAGTGGTTTGAACGGCTGTTGTACTGCGATGTGGAAAGCAAATGGAAAAACTACCACATTATCACTATTCCTGGATAGTCTCTTTCCAAAAACAGAAGATCGCATTAAGTGGAGAAACTGTTTTGGAAGAGGCTGTGGACCTGTCATCTGACAGATTACTGATGAATGAATGAATGAAAACAAACACGGTTCAAGATCTTGCACAGTGGACTCAGCATTGACCCCTTAATCCTTATATTCTGTCCTGAAGATTGAGGCAGCAGGATCGTCTGAAATGTCAGTAACTATCTGTCTAAACAAAACTGTCATAATGCACAAGGCCACATGACCTTTTCACCGCCGTGAAAACCTGAAAACTCATCTCAAGTAGTTATTGGGCGAGGACACACCAAGCCAACTGGCAACTGCTTTGCCGTTTCCTCAGTTTGCGCTGCTCCATTCAGTAACATGTGTTCAACTCAGGCTGATAACAGCTCTCGAAAATTGCGGTTGCGTTGCGGTTGCCAGTTTCCTTGGTGTGCCCTCGCCCAATACGTTATATATTTTGTCCCTGTCATCTGACGTAAATTATAAATCAATGCCTCTTGTGAAATTTGAAGCCAAAACCTGCATTGTAAACGGCAGCCAGAACAGAGGTTCTTCACGTTCAAATCCATAACTATCAATCATGTCATCTGTGACGGAAGTAATATTTTGAATGGAAGATCAAAGAAATTGTTATTTCCGTTCTTGAACCCAAACGGAATTATCAACAGTTAATCAACGCGGAGCCGGTCACGGTAGCCGAGCGGTCTAAGGCATGTACTGTCTTCGCTCGCTTGGAAACCGGGATCGTGGGTTCGAATCCCACTTAGGGCATGGATGTTTAGTTTTTGTGTGTGCGTTTTTCTGTGTTTGTGTACAGGTAGAGGCCTTGCGATGAGCTGATCACCTGCCCAAGGAATCCTACCGAACATGTAAGATCTAGAAAAACCGAAGTGAACGGAGAAGCTCATGGAGGTAGGCCTAGGCCCACTGGGGCTGTAGTGTCAATGAAAAAAAAATCAACGCGGAAGCCACGTATCATAGATTAAGAATAATTAATTTTTATTCGTAATCAACGGTGATGACCAATCATATTTCATCTCAGTCCAAGGAGGACAGAGTCGGTCGAATCGATTGGCTGGGATCATCAAAGCCATGAATTACAAATTACTGTACTAATCTACGTATGTACAGTTCGTTCTTAAAGTAATTTTGTTGGTCGATATGTTAGCATTGGCTTACAGAAGTTTGTGAGAAATGTGTACCGTATGGGTTCAAGTTAACGTAGTTCTAAGCCGACGTTCAGATATGTCAGATGTTAGATACATTTGCGTGTAGTCTTAGATATGCTGTGAATATTTCGATGTCTGCGTGCCACCTACTTTCACCCTGAAGATGGAGGCGACATGTTGCTCCAAAACATCAGCTGACTCTTCAGTGGACTGTGTGCCGTTATATACCAGAAAACAAAAATCTTAATAAGTTCCTGCTTTACATTTGTGGTGCTCACATTTTTATTACAAGTCTGTACTACATTTTGGGTCATATTTTGTGGTAGGGCTAATGTTTAAAAGGAAATCTTGAATCGGCGATGGTAAAATAAAATCATATTCATGACGAAACTGAGCAACCTTTGAATGTAGTTTATTTTGGAACATATTGTCATGTGTAGGGGTGTGTGTATGACATAAAACGGGGTTTTGGATTGGATATATTGACACCTTACACACAGTACTTGGAACTGCAGGCAATTACAGCGCTATTGCTAGTCTGACATGTTACAGCTCACCGTTACATGTGCACTAGGATTCTCAGTCTTCACTAGCCATATCCCAGCAACAGAATTATGACAGTCTCACTGTCACTTCAAATCATACATGAAATGTTTTCACTCCCTAATTCCTTTCTTGCCATTAGTATTTGGGCTATTTTAGGAGTTTTGTTTAACATCAAAATACTTGCATTTGAAACTAAAATAAGGTTCAAGTTAAACAATTCTTGTTGTGGTATTCTGGTATGCCATATGATCTGATAGGTCATTAGCAGCCCTTTCGAAGAATATAATGTGGGTACCTTCATGATATCAGTGAGTCAGATCGAGAACAGTGTGGGAAAATGGGCCATGGACACCAGAAGAAGGCAATCAGAGCCAGTGATGAGGAAGAGGAAGCAAGCCTCAGGTAGGCCAGCAGGAACTGTAGACCCTGAGAAGGGCAATAACTACGGAACACAAGGCCTTGAAAAGAGCAATTACAAAAGGGGCTACAGGCCCTCTGATATCTCTTACAAGATTTAAGGCATGGAAGAAGGGCCGTTAGAAAAAACTGGGTAAAACCATGAAATTTCATAGCCACCAGCATAAAGATGCAATTGTGGAAACATAATAGGTTATTCTCAAACTTGGACATTTTCTTACTATTGAAAATACCTATTCTTCTCTTTGGTTGCTGGTAAAATAAACTGCACCGAGAAATGAAATATATTATTTACTGTAACAGTTCTATGGGAATATATTCCTGTTGAACAGTGATCAGTTATTTATGTTGTGAATCTGTATGGTGACTGTGTGATGCGTTATTCATTTGTCAGTCAATGGAATAATGGGCACATCTAGACAATTGCAATGATATTCATCCTGTCATCCAGCAGTTTTTCCTTGCAACTACAGATCTGAATAATTCATGGCTTCCATTTAATGCTATGTAGACACCCTGTGTTTGGTCTCAGCATTTGTCTAGTGCCCTCTGGCTAGACAGAAAATTAATTTTTTACATGCTAGATACTTTGGCCAAATATTACAAGTTATGCTACTTTAGAGACATTCTTTGTGAAATTCGTGATTTTCCAAAGTGGCAGACCTGTCCACAGGAACTCTGTAGCTTTAAACACAAGTTGTTGCTTTTGTCGATGTTCTTATTAATAAAGTTAACCAGATTGGTTGGAGAGTTTTTATTATTCCATATTTACAGCCATTAACTTATCCCCCACATTGCGTCTATCATAACTCGTCTTTTACTAGGTTTGGTGTCTCTGCAATCATCTCATATATACTGTCCCAAAATGTCATGCGGTCAGGAAAGAAATGCTTCTTGATTGTCAGCTTGTCATTGATGTCAACATACCGGAATTTGTCGGGTTCAATGACTGGCCACATAATATTATTCAGGTCTGGAGATTCTTGTGGAGTTGGATCCCTGTAACATGAGCAGTTTTTATTGGTTTGGAGAACGGTTTAGCGTTGGTCATGATTGGGAGGGGGGGAGTGACTACTAGAGGAAGCCTGTAGAGTGTATGGTTCAGAATGGTGCAACAAAATCTGCTAATAACTCATAATCTGACCAATTCTACAACTTATAGAACATCGTACTGTTTATTCAAAAGCTACATTTTGCTGCAGAGAGTGTGTATGGGAGAGTTGATGATCTCATGGCAGGGTGTGCCGAGATTATGGCCTTTTGTGATGTGACTGCATGTAGTTTGGTAGATAGGCATCAGTGATGTACAGCAATCTTCTGTCTTCGTCTTCATGGCAGAAGAGTGAGGTGACAGGTCCCTGCAAAATGTTGGCACCAATCTACCAAACTACACTGCATCATGCCCCAGAAGACCATATTTTATATACAGGATTCATATGATTTTCAGAAGAACAAATGTTGATAGTCTTCGTGTACAACATTAACTGACTGATCTTTGTAATGGAAGCACAGTGTATTGTCTGTGAGGTAGGATGTGAATTTGTAAATATTTAGATGTCTTTCAGGCTCCGAAGAGCTAAACTGTCACAATGTTGTTTTCGTAAGTCCCATTTAATTATATCAACACTTACCCCATCATTCTAGATTATCTATTTTCATGAGGTTTTGTACTAGAATTTCTTAACGTTTTTCTTGTTTCTTGTATTGCTATAACTGCCTAACCCATTGAAAGTTCAGAAGAATATATGTTAGAAGTTATTCACTCATGCACTATTTTTTGTTAATGGTTCCTTTTTCTGGACTCAGTATTGCAGAATGTGACCTAAAACTAAATAAAATATTTGTCATGCTTACCCATTTTGTGCAAAGTTGGTAACAATGCGCAGCAGACACTCAGTGATATGAAAGTGTTCTTTATCTATGACAAGTTTCGTGCCAGCAATTATGTCGGGGAACATGTAGAGAGTGTCATCTCCATGTGGTACCCCTGAAACGAAACATTTCTAAAGTATCATTCAATGGTATAGAAACTTTACTAGTGACAGTGTGCAACCGTCCCGTCGCTCGTGGCGTCCTTCCCGTACCTGCTGCTGCTTCCTCTTCTTTTTGTCACTCCCGTTTCCCCCCTTACCACGTTGGTTCTTTTTGTCTCAGGGTAGGTTGGGCATCAGTGGGGTGTAGGAAACCTAGGAGTTGCTGGTAGGGCATGAGAACCCTCTCAGGGAGTTTGACGGGTTACATTCGGGGTGACCCCATTTACTGAATGCCAGACTAACTCAAATGGTGGTTGCTTTTATTTATTTACACTTATTCTATTTCACTTGATTTCACACGTGGGGGATTGCTAAACTGCTATAACCCCCTTTTACGGATGTTCTTTTGTTTATTCCACTCTCGGAATACATCCGGACACGTCTAAACCATTCAGTGCCCCACTTTTGTGTGTCTGTGTGGCGTCAGCTTCGCCAAAGCGTGGTGAAGCCAACCCATGCAAATTCCATTACATAGTTTCACCACTTGTGTAGTGCTTGCGGATTGGTTGTAACGAACTAATTATTTTGAATTCGACCAATAAGGTCTTGACTTACTTGCCCTTAAGGAAAAAGGCAACCAAAGCTCTTGGGATTCCCACTGACCTTATCCTGTATGTTGTCATTCATGTGGTGAAGTCCCTTAGCTTCTTGCGCACAAGTTATAGCGTGCATTCCTGGGCAAGAGAGGTTCTAAATTGGGTTACCTAAGGGCAGTCCTAAACTCCGTTCGGCTTCAAGTGTTGTCAAAGAAATCATACATACATGCATAATCATATGAACAAAGGCATTGTTTTAGTCTGCTTTGCTTATTAGTTAGGAACTATACCCTTATATTACCATGTTCACGTGACTATCCAACAATTTATCCACATTTGTCACAGCCTAATACATTTTGAACCAGCTGATAGATGTTCATGGAACTTACTATGAATATAATTCTCTAGGAACCACCCCACATTTCTACTTTTTTATTCCCTGTTATTACAAAGCCATTTGATGTAGCAGTAATGCTTTAGACTTCTATTCAGGAGATACTCAGTTTGAATCTCAGCTGGGACATCCCCTGTTCTGACTGAGGTTTTACATGGATTTCCTCACTCCTTCCAGGCAAATTCTGGGAATGTACCTTGACTAGGCTATAATCACTTCCTTTCAAATCTTTTCCAGTTCATTATTAAAAAAAATCATCCTATCGTCTATATAGAACAGACATTGACAATGTTGTAAAATGAACCACAAAAACAAAGAAAATTTTCCTATAATTGATAACACCAACATTGCAGACTTGTAAATTAATCCTGTTACTAGTGCACTAGTGTATAACTGCAAGATTTTATACAATAAAATGGTTTTGATAAACACAGCACACCCCCATATTACAGAAGGGATTCTTTCTTGAAAATGTGTATGTACCATACAGCATGAGTCCTATATTTCCATTGTTCTTGTTACAAGAGGATGCGCATATATGTTAGCATGAAGTTCTTTCAGTTCACAGTTGTAATAGAAGTATATTTTTAATGAAATAAGAGCAATGCACTGCAGTGTTTAAAATAAAATTGGAAAAGTGGCCCTTCTGCTAGCCATTCCCTTGTGTCACTGACACATGTGGATTGGCTGCCTGTTGGCCATCTACCATAGCCTCTTCTGTCATCAGTGCATGCACATATGCAACCTAAATTTTGTAAGAAATAACAATTTTGGCTGAATTTATTGTTGTTTTGAAATTTGTATTTTAAAAAACTGCCAGTTTTTATACCAGATTTCTATAAGGGCGAATTTATGGTCTGTACAATTAATTTCATGATCATGTATTACAGTTGCAGTAAGGTCAAAATTCCATGACCTGAATGTAATGTGAGGATATACTGTACATAACTTTATTCCTACTATATGTACTACAGGCCTGCCAATTTCATTTTCTTTTAATTACAGTGTGTATTGTGTGGAGCTCATCACTTGGTTGTTATGCATGGTTTGTCACCGTGAGACTTGACTGGCGCTTACCGAGAGAGAAACGAGGGTCTCTTCTGTGGTATGAAAAGTGATAAACAAATATAGGTGTGTCGCTGGCAGCTGTAAGTGTATTCACGCTCTTCTGTAGCCCATAATAATAGTTGAAGTCTGAAGTCATCTGTAGGGATCACAGACAACAGTTTAGAAACATTTACAATGTAATACTCGTATAATGAGCAAGCTAGTTCAGGCAGTAATGCTTTTGATTTCTACTTTGTAGGTGCCTGGGACCAGTGCAGTGAGTGAATTGTTGGAAACTGGTTACTCTCTGAAGTTCTATTTTGTAAATTGGGAGCAAAGAAATGTAAGAGGAAGGCTGATGCAGAAAAGAAGTTAAACATAAATTAACAAATATGAGGAAGGGTCAGAAGATAAAGAGGAAAGGAAGTCTTAAAAAAGGTACTTATCAATGGACATCTCTTACGTGTCAGGATGTGGTGCAACAACAGACTGGAAGATAATACTTAACACTTTGCGGACCAGCAATTTAAATATTTAAATCATCCTGTGGACTGGCATTTTTATACCTACTACCCTAACTTGTGCACTGTTCACTTTAAAAATTAATATAAAATCTCCTAATTAATTTTATGAACTAAAATTTTTTGAGAACTCTTACCAATGCTTCTAGAAGTGCTTGAGGGTGTGATATTTCTCGAAACATTGCCCTCTGTGAAGTGGCATTACGCAAAACTTGCAAATGTAGGCAGTCCTACTACTTTTCTTGTGAATTGCGCAAACACGGCATTGCCTAGAAGGCTGCTTCCCCTTGAAATGTTCACTCTTCACAATTTTCATGAGGGTATGTTTCCGCATATCACCCAAGAGTCACCCAGGGGGGTCAAAATGAGGCCTGCGTGGGGTGGGAGTAGACGGCCCCAGTCGTACTAAGACTGTGTCTGCTGCCTGTTCTGCCGCTACCGTGTGGTCTGTAGCCCAGGCTTTTGCCACATTCAGCAGAAATGCCTTGTATTTCAATTTTGAATGAGGGTTTAGATTTTTGAAAACCAAAAATGAATTGAAAATGGCACAATTTATAAGCCACAAGGCAACTTCCTTTGTCCACTTTACTGTTTTCTGAGGAAGAGAATAATAGACCAAGTACTGATCGGCTCTATCAACTCCCTTCATGAACTCGGAAATACAAACAGGCTTCTTTACCTGTCCATGTCTCCTTTGAACATCAACCATGCTTGAATTGTGAGTTGTGGAAAAACAGTTCCGCTACTTCAGACACTTGCGTTGGGTCCGATGGAATTTGCTTCACCCTTGGATTTCCAGTAAACTGTCCCAAAGCAGGCGTTTTGTCTACTTTTCCCCATGTGGCTGTCCCCGCAATGTTGCTACCCGCACTTTCGTCAGAGCTGCTGTCACTTTCAGTTTCACTTTCACTGTCTGTGGCCACAATTTTTTGTTCACCCCTGCCACACTCACTATCAGATTGTGAGTCGCTGTCACTAGAAGACTCACAAGAGACGTCAGATAGCTCATCGGAGAACAAGTGAGATATTTCTTGTTCTCCGAGGAACCTCTTGGACCTCAACCTCTTCTGACCTTGATCCATTTTGAACTACTGACTGACAGCTTGCTACGTAAAGCTTGAAGAAATAAAGGCATTTATTTTCCTTTGTAGGGGCATAAATTTACAGCGAGGTCTAGTAACTGATTGGTCAGCAGACATTCCAGAGCCTTATAACACAGCTGCAAGCAGCTACATGCTAGCTAGGTGGAGCCAGAGAGATGTATAGTGTGTTGCAACTTATTGTGTTTTAAAAACCTGTTAACACGCGAATGGTCCGCTATGTTTAAAAGCGAAAAACCTTTTAAAGGGTGCCCGGTCCGCAAAGTGTTAAATATAAAGTACAGTATGGTAGTGGCATTTACTTCACACTTGATGTAATTTTTATACCGTTATAACTGAGCCAGAGCCTCAATTTTTGTGTGAAGGTGAACATGGCAAGGAAATGAGAGAGGCACAACCTCATACCTCAGCCAGTTTAACGAGGTTAGTCCCATATGAAAGGGAGTCATTTTGGAGATAGAAATTCCAGATCTTCTGTCCAACTTGTTGAGCCTTTTCTGGCTGGACATCGAGTCCGAGGAATTTCAGTACAGTCTTTGCAGGTTCCCTGTCCAGTCCTTCCTTTAGATCATGGTACAGCATCACCTCTGAGACAGACATAATTTTATGTAAAAACTTGCATATTCCTTAATATTAATCCTTTAGCAGGAGTAAGGACATTTAAACGCTCATTTAACATTAAGAAACCTGCCTACAGCCCACACAGTGTATTTGTGTGTTTTGTATGATTCTCAGAATAAATATCACTTTTTTTTAAGCACAATTAACTGCTTGGGCTTTGCGATAATGAAGGTGCAATTTATTTTCTTCAAGATAAGAATTTAATTTTAAATTATTATTTAAATGATTTCTGGGCTTTAGAGTGTTAATTACTTAGCTTGACTGTCCATTGAACCTGAAGATTCAGCACTGCAGGACACACTTCAGGTCAGTTCAGTTCTTATCTTCATAATCTGTATCCTCATACATTTTAATGTGTTTCTTCCACCTCACTTTTGGTCATTGAAACAGAGATGCTTTCCATTGGTTTTCTCAATCAAAATTTTGTTTTCATGTCTTGTCTCTCTTATATGAATTTCATATCCAGCTCATTATAACCTTTATCTGGCTACCCAACAGTACTAGAGGACTTGTCAATAAAACAAAGTTCTTTGTTATGTAATAGCCATTATTCTTCACTGCATCCCTTAACACAGGAAACAACATCATGGAGTAAGCACAATAGACCACTGTAGGTTGCAGTGCAAGGGCCAAGAAGGCCCACCCGTTATACATTCATTCAACATCTTGGAGTCCAAAATCAGTAACATGGGAGCAGATGAAAGAGCAGGACTTGGTTAATGTGAACAGGGGTTATAAAAATTTATTCTACAGTATGAAAAATGTCTCATTCTTCATGAGGAGTATGCATGTAAGTAATTCATAAGATATACAGTGATACTGTGTATTCCATTTGGCATTCAGTGAATACATGCTTTGTAAACTTACTTTCTGACTGCCTTCCACATTACAATTCTATGGTGTGTATAGTGTTACTATGGGCTGTTATGGTAGACTCTCAATTATTCACATTCAGATAAACTGTAGGAATTTTAGAATCCCTTACATGTTGATTGTAGCTGCCTGTAATGATTTAAATGTTCTCCATTACATCTATTTCAGTGATGCTTTACAGTGATCTACAGTAGACTGCATCTTCTCATCCTCTTGCAATTTTTTGTTTTACTATTTTATCACTTTCAATGCCAGCCTACTACAATTGACCAAGAGTTACTTGGTTGCTTTCTTCCATTGCAAAGATATTTGTCTCACTGTGTAGTGATCAGTACCACCAGCATTGGGTAATAATTAAGTGTATTGAGTGTAATGAAGTATGGATAACAAGTATTTCCAGATTTTGGGTTTATCAGTTGTTTTTAATTATCCACAGTACTTCTGACTTCCATTACTGTGGATAATCGAGAGTTCACCATATGTTGTTAAATACAGACTAGTGTCAGTAAAGTAATCAGATTATTTTCGTTTTGTGGATAATAGGTCTGAAAATTCCACAAACCATGTGTCACATTCTGCAGCGTATCAAGTACAATCTAAATGATTTCAAAATTATGTCTTATTTAATGATACTATCTGCGGCGCATACTGCAGCATACATGGCAAAACTGTGGCCTGTGAGGTATATGCCTGTTTTTGGCAACTGAAATGAAAATAATCATATGCAGCTCTGATATTTATTAAGTTTGGCCAGCCTTGCTATATAGTTTAGAATGATGCAAAAATGAATTGGAAAGGATATGTAGAGAAACACTCATGGCCTAATTTGAATTGCCATCCTGTCCTTTACCTGGAGGGACATAGGAAAGCTACCGAACATCTTAGTCAAAATAGCCAGTCTCCAGGGTGAGATTTGAACCTGGAACCCCTTGAATACAAAGTAGGAATGCTGATCACTTGATAATAATGTTCAGTACTAAATGTTAGTGTAGAGAATGACAACAAAGTCTATCAGGAAAGAGATAATTAAAACCGTGTTGGAAACTTACCGAGTGATTGTGGCAGCCCCTCATGTGAGGTGATGCCTGTAAGCCATGGGATCTCCCACAAGGCTGGGAGCAGAGGTTTTTTCATAATGTTAATGGGTCTGTCATGCAGTAGAGGTTTCATTTGTTTTGGCACAACTTCGTCTTCAACAGGTACAAATGGGTGTGTGAATCTTGTCATGTAGTCCTACATACAAAAATACATCGTTACCCATGTATTATTCTAGAACACTCAGCATAGTATTTTTAGAACTACTTTCTGTTCTTAAGGAACAAGGCTAAAAAGAATGTACTCTGTAATGTAGTTCACAAAATTCCCAGCAGCATTCTTTGCACTTTATTAAGTTTACTTTTAGCCTATTAATAAAATTTGATTAACAGTTTATGACATGAACAAGTCTGAAGATTACTGTCTTCTGCATGTGAGGCCATTATTTTCTCTGAAACCTTAGTAACTGTCTACCAGGGCCGCGCCATAGGAGAGATGTATAGTCGCTGGCTTCCCACCGCAGTGACCCAGGTTCGATCCCGGGTCTGGTCAAGTGGAATTTGTGGTGGACAAAGTGGCGCTGGGGCAGGTTTTCTCCGAGTACTTCGGTTTCCCCTGCCAATCTTCATTCCACCAATTGCTCCACAATCACCCTCACCTATCATCTGGGGCTGGTACAATAGGCCAGAAGTGGCCGTAGTACAAGGGACTTAGTCCCACCCCACTAGCAGTAAAGAAACTGTCTACCAGACCACACAGTACCACATCCAAAAATACAGTAATATGGTCATCTCAAATATTACATGAAAAGTCCATAACTGTTCCAAATAATTATAAACATTGCATTTATCTCACATGTCTGACGTGATTCACAATATAATATTTAAATTCTATGGGTTCTTTGTAAGGAGGATTACTTAAATATTATTGCGCAGTCAGATACACTTGCAGAATTACTTCAAAGTTCTAGTACAGTGAGTCCAGAACACAGACTTAGGACGAGAGGTTCAAATTGAAAACTTGCCAAGATTTTGGTAGATGCCTCCACCAGCTCTTTAGCAGGTTTCTTGCGGATGCATTTAATTAGTTGTTCTGTGTTTTCCAACTGCTTCTTCTTACAACCCAGGAGGTCCCCTAGCTTGAAGGCCCGTTCTCGGGCTGTTGTAGCTCTGACATGGGCCCAGGGTGAGAGTGCAGTGCCGGATTGGGATATTGCTCGGTGAAACAGCTCTGGCACACAGGGGTAATAACATGAGCTAACACTATTAATTGCTGTAAGCTGATTAGTCATATGGTCAGTGTGATGATGTAACTGTCACATATGCATACCTGGAATACTAGGGTTGCAAGTAAGAGAACTGAAGTTTTACAGGAGAATTGCTTGAGGTTTGCACTGTATGTACAGATGCATGCATACTTACAAGGGGTGTAAGTATTGTCTAGTGGAAGAACAGCAACTATAGATGTGACCTTATTACACTTATAAAAGCAACTTTAGCAAACCAAGCAATGATATGAAACATTGTTTCTTTTTTTCTTGAGTTGTCGTCCTATTATTCTAGGTGTTAAAACTGCGACGAGCAAATCGCATTGCATTCCAACTAACACGCAGGAAATGAGACTAAAAGAAATACAGTTTTTATCTTCATCTTATGCGGGCCCATCCTGCCTGTTCCAGCTCAGAAATAATTTTGATAAAAGTTCATTCTTTAGACATTTGATAGAGGACACACTGGAAGAAGAATTAGCAAATTACAAAATCTTACCCAGACAAGATAAGACAAAGGTCTTCCACAATCTTCAGTCTCTTATGGGAACACCAGAATAGTACCGGGAACGTCTTGTGTTTGTTGACCAGCTCATGACTTTGTGCTTCATGGCAACCGGTGCACCACCGGCTGTGAGGTGCATGCAAATTTTGCTGATGAATCAGTATGCGTGAGGGCTCATAACGTTTGGAATTAAGGAAGTTATTAACTTTTGACTACTTGAGTAAATCACGTTTCACGATGGACAGTGCAGTTAATACGAGGGAATTTCTTTATGATTTGTCAGCAGTGGGTGGCAGTTATGAGTTCCATTAGCCATCTGTTCTCAGTTCCAATTAGTGAACAGTGTGGTACCTCATATTATGGTATACTTTAGAGCAATGTGTATTTCTGTATAACACCTGTGTGAAATACAGATCTGTTAGAAAGTGTTGGCAAAAATTTTGACATAAATTTCCTGATGAAATAGTTCCAGCAGACAAACAATTCATAGTTTGGTGAATAAACTTAGATCAACAGGACTCTTAATAAACAACAAACAAAACATAAGTGCCAACTGCTCACTGAGAAGTTAGTTGACACAGGAGCCAGATTTGAACCTACTCCTAGAAAATCACTGACACGTCTAGCTTAGGAGACTGGAGCGTCAAAGTCTAATGCAAAAAGGGCAGCACAATTGCTGAAGCTTAGACCCTATAAAGCAACAGTAATCTACACCTTGCAGTCTCGTGATCCAGTTAGCAGGGTTCATTTTGCAGTTGGTTTCTACAGTCTGTCATCAAAGAGAATCGATCCACAATTGACATTCTTTTCTGATGAAGTGTGGTTTCACTTGCAGGGATACAGATATACACAAAATAATTGCTACTGAAGTTCACAGAATCTACATGTAACCTACCTCCTCCATTCACTGAAATTTGGTGTCTGGTGTGCTGTAAGTGCAAGAAGGATGGTTGGACGTTTATTTGTTAACAAAACAATTAAATGTGGAAGATATGTACAGGGAATTCTCGGGCATTTCTTTCCAGAGTTTCCAGAAAAAGAAAGACTCCATGGCTGGTCTCAGCAAAACTCAGCTATTGCCCACACTGCACATATGTATATCTATGCAGGCTCTGTCCAATGTCTTCGGAGACAGAGTTATCAGCATCAATATTTGACCAGCACGTTCACCTGATCTTACTCCTTGTGATTCTTTCTTCTCAGGTTGTTTGGTGGACAAAGTTTACAACAGTAACCCCTGAATGGAAGAAGAACTAAAGGAAAATATTCAAATGAAAATTGCAAATATTCCTGCAGAACTGCATCAAAGAGTAAATTAAAACGTCTTCTGCCTGTGCAAGGAATGCCAACACCTCCTGTGATCTGTGAATTGTAACTACTTCATTCCGAACATCATCAGCCAACAGGCATATTGATTCATCAGAAAATTTTGTATATGCATCATATCCAGCAGTGCACCAGTCACCGTGAAGAGCAGCTCCATGAACCGATCAGCAAAAGTAAGAACCTCCTACTTGATTAATGATGGCTCCCTTCCAAATTCTTTCCCATTCATCAGTCATCCTGCCATTCAGTGCTGTATAGTTTAGTTACTTACAGCTTCATAAAATAAACAACAAAACAAATACACAAGGTAACAACAGAGATCTGAACAGAATTTGATCCCAGTGTTCAGTTCAAGACTGCATGCTCTTTAGGCCATATGACCACTGCATATTTTTACTTTTAGTTAATGATTTAGTAAGACCAGTAGTACCAACTTGCTTAGATTCCTTCATATTGTCACTTCAATTCCTTGTAGAACTGTGAGTAAAAACATTACTCACTACGTGAGAGTCTGGACAGCATGTGGTAGTGCACACTGGCAGCCCCAGCACCTGCTCCAAATAATGTTACACTATTAGGGTTGCCGGAAAAGTTATGGATGTTACGACGTACCCACCGTAGTACATCCACCTGGTCCTTGAGCCCATAGTTGCCAGATGCAAACTCGTCTCCTGTTGCTAGGAAACCTATAGCAAGAAAATAACTGATAATGGGCATGTGGTACACGCGGGAGAAATAAGTAATGCATATACAACTTAGTTCAGAGAACCTATATGGAGATCTAGGCACAGGTGTGAGGATAATACTAAAATAGATCTTCAAGACGTAGGGTGTAAGGCTGATAATGATCTTATGGTTTCACAAAGGCAAGGAAATTTTTAATCTGTTGAGCAAGCATCAAGTTCTCAAGAAGAGATAAAAAAATATGCAACTTATTTTTATGAATTTGGATATTACACAATGACCCCACACAATATTTTGGTGTTATGGGTGTAACCGATGAATCACTGCTATGATTACATTTATACCAAGATATGGGCCGTGCCATAGCTCAAGCGGTTAGTCACTGACTTCCCACCGTGGCAGCCCGGGTTCAATCCCGGGTCTGGTCAAGTGGGATTTGTGGTGGACAAAGTGGCGCTGGGGCAGGTTTTCTCCGAGTACTTCAGTTTCTCCTGCCAATCTTCATTCCACCAGTTGCTCCACAATCACCTTCACCTATCATCTGGGGCTGGTTCTATAGGCCAAAAGTGGCTGCAGTACAAGGGACTTAGTCCCACCCCACTAGCAATAAAAAAGAAATATACCAGGATATGTTATAGTCCTGTCTTGTCATGGTACAGGTTGTGCAAGTGATAGTTAAACCAACAAAGTGAAATCCTGTCAAAAGTGGGATCCCTGTCACCATGTCTTGGCAAAACCGTGTGTTTGCTTATGAAGGAGACAGCCTCCAGATGAGGATGACAATGGCAAACAGCTGAGAAGGGATGATTCTCCTGTTTAAATGTTGGGAATAAGGAAAATTACCCCTCATCATAAAATAAATGTTATGTTATGAAACTTGTATGGAATAATAACGGATCTTTGGAATGACCTAGATGAAGCAATATTTGAGGTTCACATAGTGGTGGTTACGAAGATTTTATCTTCCAGGAGGATGGGGTGACATGTTCCTCAAAAATGCCAGTTGACTTTCAACAAACTACAGGGCATTATATCTCAGAAGACAAAACTCTCCAACCTAGATGATGTTTGAAGGTGGAATATGCATAAACCTGCCATAAAACAGAAACTTTTTGCTGTTGTTAACATCATACTTGGTCAGGCTGTATTTCTGATCTAATCTTATACATTTTAGTGCTTCAGGAACACTTTGAAATCACGTCTTAACTGGACCTGTGTGCTGTGATCTTTAGAATGTCTGTAAGCCATACTTGGTAGAATAATATCCTGTAAGTGAGTTAATATGTAAAGGTTTGCTATGAACTTTCAGCAAGGGTGGGCACTGCAATGTAGACTTACCACACCTTCCATTGCTGTATAATGCTACCACCTTCTGTTCCTATTTGTAATTACTTGATAACATACATAATGAATGACTTGATAGTGTTAGGCAGCCCATACATGCACGAGTCTGGCTCGCGAGTCCGGCTCATCTAGGAGCCAGGCTTGGATTAATTTCACCACACACGTACGAGCGTGGTGACCCACACATGGACGAGTTTGGCTCATTGGAACCCGAGCTCACAAGCCAGACTCGTATGTGTATGGGCCCCTTTAGCATGTATGAGTAGGTGTTTTGGAATTCATTTGTTGTAGAAGTGACAATATACAAATTGGATGTAGAAAGATCACAGGAAATTACAATTTTGTATTAGTATATGACTTTTGAGTTTGTCTGTACAGCTGCATATTACTCCATACTAATAAGAGTGGGTGCTCTGTCATAGCTCAGACAGAAATTGGTTTCCTACTGCAGAAACTTGGGCTGAATTCCGGGTGACTACATGTGAGATTCAAGGTGGATGAAGTGGAACTAAAGCAGATGTCTTTCTGAGTTGCTTCTGTTTTCCCCTGCTAATCATCATTCCTTTGTTACTCCATACTTATCTGTCACCACCCCTGAAATATGTGATATCCCTGCCCATGCGACACATTATAACATCCTTGTATTGAATTTGGGGGCTTTGCCTCTAATCCATCACTTGGCTCATTGTAGAGTAAGGAAGTTAAGTTTGCTTATTAATGAAAGTGTATGCCTGTTTGTATTGTAGGTTATGGTTGTCTTACCAAGAGCACCAAGGCGATAATTGCATGTGACCATCACAACATCATGATCTAGCAAGTAATCAGGCCCATACATTGCAATGTCACCTGAACCATGTGAGAAGCCACCAGCATGGAACAGCACCACAACGTCCTGAAGGGCTGTCTCCAAGTTTGATATGTTTGGCATCTGTAAGTGTAGGTTTCACAACTTTATGTATATTCATTCATTTTTGATGTATTGCTTAGACACGTGCCAGTTTACACATAGTAAAAATAACATTGATTCATATTATAGTTTTCTGGATTATGACACCATGTAGTCAGGTTTCAGCTCCAAAGATGGAAGCAGTGTCTTTCTCTAAAAGGACGAGGAAGTAAAAGAGAAGAAAAGAAGGAAGAGGAGATGAAGAGGATGGAGAAGATTAAAGAAAGAAGGAAGAGATAAGATGGAGGGAATAAAGATAAAGAAGGAAGACAAAAAGAGGAAAAGAAGAGGAATAATAAGATAAAACGCTGCCTATTGTGTCATTTCCATTCCTGAATTTTTCAGAAAACCATCACTCCACTAAATGTAGTCTCCTTCCTGATGTGATGTCTTGAGTATGAAAGGGTTAGTTGCATATAAAAATGTGCAGTTGTGACTTGAGGGAAGAACATACTGAACAATTTCATAAGTTGTGTCCTACACCTAATACTTTAGGGTGATTAAGTAAAGGCGAATGGGATGAGGCAGGACATGTAAAATGCAAGGGGAGTGATATTTGTCTGTAAAGGAATAGGCCACATATGAGATAAATGTATGGGCTGGAGTATAGTACAAAAATGGACGTTACAAATACAGTAAAACCACACTAATTAGGACTAACTGGGTACAAACCCTTGTCCAAATTAGTGGAAGTCCAGCTTATAGAAGTGCTGTAGCGAGAAGACCCATTACTGGGTAACAGTCACAAACAAACACGTTTCCACAGCAACAAATCAGCACACAACAGTGAAGGTACTGTTGGAAACTATGTTTACTACTACATGTTTACTACTGCTGATGAACAAAGCGGAACAAAGTGACGACTGAGGTCAGTTGTTGGAGTTGTGGGATCTGTGCCAGACAGTAAGGACATAAGTGGAGAGTGTTAAAATCCATTACCAGGAAACATCTAATGAAGACAATGTGTGCTGTAGTTAAAGTGATATTTGGAGTGTGTAACTCTGTGAGACTGTTATAATTACTTATAGTTACAATCCGTAAGTGGTCAATAAATCCAATTATTGAAAACCCCATTAAGAGTCTCTCATACGCGTGATAATATGTTCATGGAAGTTATAAAAATGGACTTCACATGTCATTTTAGGCAATATAAAAATAAATTTACTTGTCATAAAGTGTAAAATTGTAAGTTTTGACATCAGTCTTAAAATCATTTTCATTTGCGGCAAGGTCATAATGCACTAAATAAAACAGTTGTCTAAATTAGTGAGGTTTCACTATATGTGGTGTGAGTATGTGGAATGGATCAAGCTGACCAAAGGTAAGGTATAGTAATGAGCTTTTGTGCGTGTGATGTTGAGTCTTGGGGTTCTTTAAAAGCAGGGAATTTCATGACCACCTGAATGATCGTCAGTTTTCACTGAAGACCTTGTACCATGAAGTTTTAATTAGTTCCTTGTCGCTTTTTTCCTCACAGTGAAGAGAAGGTAAGATATGGATCTCATGAAACTCTGTAAATTGTACTTAAAACATTTCGTATGGTTTGTATTTAATAAAATACAAGATGAAATATTCTGTGCTTCTATGTTATGTAACATGTTTTCTGTTTGAGATTTTAGATTCTCATCACAGAATATTAAGACTGTGGTCTTCTGGGAAGTGACTCATGTAGTTTGGTAGATGGTCACGAATGTTTTGTAGGAACCCCCTGCCTCCATCTTCTACCCTGTAAATTGAGGCAGCAGATTCCTTTGAAGATATGGAGTATGTACCAGCCCACATTGCATCACATCCCAGAAGACTGCAGTTTTCATCTCTGCTGTTAAATAGCTTTGTTAATAAATCTGTGTCTTCAGTAAATGAACTTCAAGAACAATGAAGGATGCAAAGTTACAAAGAATACATTTGGATGATATACTCAGAACTGAAGTATGTTTTTCTATTTTCACTTACAGAACAAACAAAGAGCAGTGTAATGTCAGTTGTCACTTACCCTTGTGGTGTAAACATTGAGGTACAGACAATCCTCTGAACCTTCGTAGTTTCGCTCTGGATATGTCAGCTGAGGGCAATGCTGCCCCTCCTTCTTAGCATTCCGCACCCCATCCCATGCTTTAACTGGCTGTGGAGGCTATGAATAAAGTGAATTTTTTTTCATAGTTTAATGGTTTCCACTTGGAGAATATTATATAAGGACAGAGAAATTTATGAAGGTATACTGGGGAAATTGAGGTAAAGCTCCACACATTCAAGATCTTAGCACTAGATGCAGATGTGTGATTAATTTCTCATTACAGCAAAGAGGTAAGATATTCTGATGGTTCTGAGGACTTGATAAAGATGGGAACTATAAAATGGAAGCAAAAGGCATATCAGAGCTGTGTTTGAGGAGATCAAAGCTGTAACTGAGCTATAACAGAAAGGAGCAGAGGATTTACAGAGAAATTACTCGAAAAGACCTCCAATATCACAAGTTTCTTGCCAAGTTACATAAAGTCATAGGGTAGTTTGTCTTTCTGCAAATCAACTGAAAAATTATAATATTTATATGACAATGTAAGTGTGACCTACCTTGAACCTCAGTTGGTCAGTTGGAGCACTAGCATATGGAATGCCAAGGAATGCATATATGATTTTCCCCTTGTGAGTGCGGAGGGTTGTGCCTCGGAGCTTCCCTTCAACTATGCTGACTTCAGGAGGACTTTCTTCTACACTGACTTCAGGTGTACTTTTTTCTGTGTTGACTTCAGGAATACTTTCATCGACACTGACTTCAAGTGTATTTTCTTCCACAGTAACTTCAGGATTACGTTTTTTTGTATTGGCATCAGATATGGTTTTCCCTGAATTTTCTTCTGGTGTGCATTCTGTACTACCTTCACATCCACTTCCTTCCACACTGACTTCAGGAGTGCTTTCTTCTGTATTCACTTTATATTTGTTGCGTGCATTTTCTTCAGGTGTACGTTCTGTGCTAACTTCATGTCTGCTTCCTTTCACATTAACATCAGGTGTGCACTCTTCTACTGTGAGTTCGCATGTGCTTTCTTCTACACTGACTTCAGGGGAACTTTCTTCTGCAATGACTTCAGGTATGTTCTTTTCCACGTTTACTTCAGGGATGCTTCCTTTTGCTTTGGCTTGAGGCTTGCTTCCTTCTACACTGGTTTCAGGTGCATTTCCTTCAGCACTGGCTTCAGGAGTGCTTCCTCCTGAAGCAAAAAGATATACCAGCAATAGAACACATGCCAGGTTGGGACTCATCTTGAGAGAGCTACAAGTAACAGACAGTATACCAAATGATGCCAAGGCATGCAATCTAATCATCTACCTGATAAGCATGTGTTTTATTTGCTTAATGGAGCTTTTTATTTGCTCAAGATTAGCAGAACTGTATCATAAATAACGAAGATAGTAATTTATATACAGTCTGGCGTTTATCTCTAGTATCTTGTATTTGGAAACCCTCATTACCATTCCTAAGCTCCTCCAGTAGGTCATATTGAACACTGCAATTCAGTGAGCTGTGTATTTGGGACTCCTAAGGTTCAAATCTCAGCTCAGAGGCTGGTTATCTTGACTGGGGTGTTTCATCTTTTTCCTCAGTCCCTCTAGTCAAATACTAAGGTAGCATCTCAGATGTCACAGCCACTCCGTTCCATATCCTTTATAGTCATGTTGTCCCTCACCACACCACGGAAGAACTGAGATAGCACCAGGCCAGTATGTGATTCCTGGCAAGGGAAAGGAATTGTTTTCCTCTCCATAGCATCTAGACTGGTTTTGAGGCCTACGTAACCTTCTATCCAGTGGGTATCAGGGACTCTTTCCTTGGGATTACGGTAGCCAGAGTGTATAGCTGACCGCTAATGTCCATCTAGTGCTGAGATAAAAAATGACTGGAGCTATACCTTCACTCCCACTTATGTCTTCATGGTGTAAAGGTAAAGTCCCTGTGCTTAACTAATTAAGCACTGTGACATGAAGGTGTATGGTGGAGTGGATGTGTAGATTCAAATTCACACCCCAGTCGCTTTACCCCCAGGGGAAAAATGGCCCTGGTACCCATTGGATAGGAGGCTGGATGGGTCTCAAGAGACGTTGTGGACAATGTGGAGAAAACTCTTGACCCTACCAGGATTCAAACTGTGACCCCTTGGCTGTCCAGCCTGTAGCCAATCACTTTACCAATTACGCTATCCTGACTCATCTTCATGGTGAGGTGCCTAATTAATGTATTTCAGGCACAGTGGAGGTACAGCTCAGTGTTTTAACCTTAACACTGATTGAGGTGCCCTGGGGACCTGTTGAATAGGAAGCTGGAAAACCCCAGGGCTAAAGCTGATAAAACGTTCTCGCACTATCAGCAATGTCAGCTGGTTAAATATTCCCAATGTTTCAGGGACCATCTCTGTCTTCATAGTCAGTGTCTGACATGGCTGGTAACATAAATGTAGATGATAACACTGCAATGTTAAAATTGTGATGCACCAATGTCAAGAATCTCCATAGATGAATTGCATCCTTCACGGTCCAAATCATTTCTCTCTCATTATATGTCCTGAAATATAATTTGGATGTGAAGAATAGCTGGAACTCGTGCTGGGTTCATATTGTAGTCTCCTGGGTTATGACACCATACAGCATTCATAGGTGGTTGGAACCTGCTGTCTCCATCTTCAGTGAAGAAGTCCACCCAGCAGACCACAATCTTGATAGTTACTTCAGGAGTATCATGTCATATCTATTAGAATATGTGTATTTTTATTTATTTCATCCTTTACTTAACAGCCCTATCAGTATATTGGAATACACAGCATTGTATGTTAGGGTGGTTAGTGAACTGGAATGGCGGGACTGAGGAAAACCACAAAACGCCTGTTAAGATAGCTGATCTTGGGGCTGAGGTCTGAACCCTAGAACTCCCTAATGTCAAACAGGAATTCTACCCACTCCATTGTGACATTCAGTTCATTAGAACATACATATCCAAAGAGACAGAGAATTATTTGAAATGATCTGTGTTCAAATATATACATTTATTAAGACTGCATAATTCGAAACATATATTTGTATCATTCTTACATGACTTGTATGGATAAACAGGAACTTTATTAAGAATCTGATCAATTTCATTCAGAAAGTGGTATCCTACAGTACAGTCAACGTGCACTTATCCAATCAAATGCGGATAATAAAATGCTTGTGGGATGTGAGGCCATGCAGTTTGGTAGATACATGACAGCGCAGAAGGGCAGACCTGAAGATGGAGCTGGCATATTCTCTGAAATGGTGATACCCATCTACCAGGCTATACAGCATCACAATCCAGCAGACTATAATATTAATATTCACTTCTGTGAGAAACTCAAGTTCTATAAAGGAAATGTTATATTTTCTAACTATTAACTGCAGCACATTTTAATTCTAGGAAATTATTTACAAAGTCAAGATCTTCAGCACTGTCCTCTCATTATGTTTTCTGCAATTTGAGGAAACCTGATGTGTTTGAAAAGTATTTGGCATTGGCTTCATTCACTTTCTTTTCAGCAGCTTGTGGGTTGACAATCTCCAATCCTTGCAGAGGTGTGAATGCCACACTAGATGCCGTTCCAGAAACTTGTTTCTTCACTGTCGTACTGCCACCCCAAACTTGCTGCTGTTTCTGCAGATTCTTCTGAAGAGTTTTTGAGATGCGAACCTAACAGAAAACATATTGCATTAAAAAGCAGGATACTAGAATAAGGTGAGAAATAAACAATTAAGTGGGGGGGAGGTTGTTAGTTTGGGTGGGTGGTTAGAGGCACATCAGCATCTAAGGCTATCTGCACCTGTCCAAAATTCTATCCAATTCTATACATGAGGGAAAATGAATACATACATACATACATACATACATAGCTACATGGTTTCACAGATCCTTTGTCCGGATACCGGACTGGATATTGAACTCGTCACAGTCAAACTGACATTGCAATGTGCAACCTGGTCTAGACAATGAAATATTCAACAATTATAACATTGATAGGTACAACAGTATAAAATGAGTCATCTTACAATTCTTGCTAGAACATAGTCTTAGAAAACAGACTGTAACAGTGCATAAAATTACCTACTTGCCANACAAACAAACAAACATAGTCTTACTTACTTACTAACTTACAGAGCTGAGCCCTTCTTGAGGAGAAGCCAAATCTGCAGCTACTCTAGAATTTCCCAGCATTTTATGGAACCTGAAGTTTCATTACCGTGTTCACAAGAGCCCCCCACTGGTCCCTATCCTGAGCCAGATCAATCCAATCCATACCATCCTATCTCTCTCAGATCCATTTTAATATTGTCCACCCACCTATGCCTTGGCCTTCCCAGTGGTCTCTTTCCTTCTGCCTTTGCCACCAATATCCTATATGCATTCCTCTACTCCCCCATTCATGCTACATGCCCTGCCCACCTCACTGTCCTTGACTTGATCGTTCTAATTATATTTGGTAAAGAGTACAAGTTATGAAGCTCCTCATTATGCAGTTTTCTCCAACCTCCTGTCACTTCATCTCTCTTTGGTCCAAATATTCTCAACACACAGTCAGCTTCTATAATTTGAAATAAATCTACTAAATCATTTACCCAATTATAAGTGAAAAGCTCTGTAAGGAGAGTCCTGTCATTGGCATCCTAAATAGGTGTAAATAAAATAGCTAAACACCTATATACCTGTTGCATGGAAATTGTAATATCAAAGTTACATAAAAAATAAACAAACTGTTCAGACTATGGACCTGTGGGCCAGTCCCTCAAAATTAAAAACTGCTTTGAAACTTCATATGAGAATTACTGTTTTTAGCTTACTTTCCATTCTAAGGAAAGATGAATAAACACATGGATACTCTTGTTTCAATGCCCCAGAAACTGGCCTACAGGCTGAAACGATTGAAGGACCTTGCATTAGAGGGTGATTTTGAATTCAGTATGTATACAAAGAGTTCAACAGCAATAATTAATTCTATTAAATTCCAGTTCCCTACCTCATCCATTTACAGAGCCCCCTTTAGTTCTTGCAACACAGTCCTTTCACTGTGTATCAGTATTCACCTTACTGGTGTCCCAAAAATTGTCTCAGCTATGCTGATGCTGCAGAAAGAAGTCCCATGGATCCACCCCTCCAAATCTCCATCAAAATGGTACATTTCCCCCTCCAGCATACCTTCCCAGATTATTTTCCAGTCATCTAGCCTTTCTCTTCATATAAATTTGGTAATGATAACCTTGCTAAGGGCAAAGGAGGCTGGAGGTGAATAGCCACAATGTGCAGAGAGGGAGGAGCTGTCATCCATACCATCTGTGGTTCTCACTTCTGCAGCATCAGTATAATCATTTATTTTATTTATGAGAAATGAAAAAGTAGGGCAAGCAACATACCTTGGTCTTCTCATCAATTTGTGGCAATCGTATTCGACCTGTTCCAGTCTTGCCAATAGTTCCTCTAGTGTATCCCAAATCCTCCTGGTATGCATCATCCTCTATATCTGCAAAGTTCAGCCTGTTTGCCTGCTTACGAAATTCTGTCATGGCATAACGCTCCTTCATTTTCCTAACACGCTTCCCTCCACGCTTCTTCCTCCCTGCATCTATTGGTTTTGGCAGTGGTTTTACAAATTTAACTGGAGGGGGTTCAGTCAGTTTGTCTAGCTTCTTCTCTATCTCTTCTCGAAGCATCTGTCCAACATGACCATCAGAGCTCTCATGGCATGCATCAACACGAGCTGCCAGTGTGCTCTTGGCTGCAACTAATCGAGCTGCCTTGCGTCGCAGATCGGGGGGTGTGTCCTGGACGATATCAGAATAGTAGATGAAGCCAGTGTGAGGCAACATGGTGACCTGAGAAGAGAAAACACAAGTTAACACTCTCTGATATGATATACGTCACTAACAAAGCAGAGAATGTGATTTGATTGGCCTTACAAGTGTTGTTTCACTGAAGCATGAGGAAACAGTAAAGGATTACACAGAGGACAGAACTGCTTGTGACCAGGCATGGCGGAATAACAGTAGTGCTTTGGAGTTGTATTTGGGAGGTGCTTGGTTCAAACCTCTGTATTGACACCAATTATCATGACAGGTTCTTCATGGTTTTCCGCAGTGTCTCATGGACAATGCGAGGATAGTACCTCGATTACGCCATGACCACTTCCTTCCAAAACCCTCCAATTCCTCAGCCATCAATCATTGTACCATGTGTTAATATTTCAGCATTAACCCCAGAATTTTCCCTTAAAGATGGGAGATGGGAGCTAAAACCATTAGTCAGGACAGACAGTGCCCCCAGACACCCAAATGTAAGTCAAACATATGAGATTTGAGTCTCTCACAGCACTGAATATGAAATGGCGATAACGGTCTTCTGGATTGTGACACCATGCAATTTGGGTGATACGTAACAATGTTTTGGATCAACCGACATGGGGTCTGGTGTTCTTCACAATCCAAAGTCCTATTTTTGGTAGACATGAAGGTTTAAATGTGTGAGGAAATAAAATCTATGTATGTGATTGGCATACACTGATTTGAAATTTATCAGAGCTAATCCACATGAGCTTTGGAGAGACTACTTTTATGACTGGTTACCATAAACACCTTCTTCCAAGCACATGCCAAACAATGCCTGTTGAACTTTATTATGTATCACAGTTTGGTAATTAATACTGGACTTGCAGATGTACCTGTTCAACATATATTTCGTTAAACTTCTGCATAAAGTGGGTATTTCATAACCACAATTAATTATAATGGATTTACAACATTTTCATTTTATTTCCATCCCGATTGCTGATATTTTCATGCAAGTACAGGAAAACTTTCCAGACCTGCTGATATTTAAATTCTGCTGAAAGAGAGATTTGTTTTATCTGGAAGCTAAATTTCACTAGGAAGAATTTGGATCTAATTTTCTAAACAGCTTTGTGGGACACTTTACCTGGGAGAAACCAGACAATGTTTTCTTTTGTGCTCCAAGCACCATGACATTACATGCTGGCATTTTGGATAGTTTTGTTAATCCTCCAGCAACACCCATTATTTTGGCTGCAGTGGATGCACCTACAATAATTGACAGATTAGGTGCAATGAAAGCCATTCTGCTCTCCACATAATCATATATCTTCTGCTTAAAATTGTTCATTTCAATAGCCATATCACAAGCTTCATATATGTCTTCTTTCTCCTGGTCAGTAAGCAACTGCCCCTGTGTTGTCGATGCAGTAACTGAGACAACCATAATTGTGGCTTGTGTTAAAATTTGCTGCAAGGCTTCATTATTCTTTGCCTTATCCAAATCATTGCCAAGTTCTTTGACTGTCATGACATACTCCAGTGGTCCAACAACCAAAGATTCCAGTTCTGGAAAACGCTTCGAGTACTTGTCACGAGTAAATCTATGAATTACAGTTATTTCGTTGTCAATGTCCACTGCGACATTGTTCGCCTCTACAATCAACTGATATTCTGGATCTGCCTCAACTGGTCCAACTATGTCTTCCGCTTTGTGAGGCTTCGTACTATAATCATCAATTTGATCCATTATATTCTGTAATCGTTCTGAATCTCTAAGCTTTGCAATTTCACGTATTGAAGTAATTTTGATGTCTTCTTCCATTGGCACAACTGTGGGATTTGGATTAATGTCCAGTACCACTGCACTCTCCACATACTGCTCTTTGATATCATCCTGATCTTGTTCTTCCAGATCCGCCAATAATTCATCTGCCAACGACATTTTATAGTTGTTTCCGAATGAAGAACCCTAACCTATTCTGACACCAATTTTATAGATGGTACGATACTGTTATTATTACTCGCTATTTTGTCGGTATCAAATAAGCGTTACTACGCATTTGAATTTATGAGGGGTACGCCTCCTCGGCCCTTGCACCGCGACCTACAGTGGTCTATTGTGCTTCTACTATAGCCGCGAAAAATAAAATGTTCACTAAACGAACTGATAATTTCAAACACCAATTCAACAGCAGAACCACCATTAATGCAATCCACAGCGCTACCAACTAACACCGTCTTTAAGAGTTCGGTTTCACGTGTTCTATGCTCTTTACCCTCGTAACGAACCGTCAGTCGCAATGTGACTTTGACTTGTTTTGTATACCCAACATAATGCATTCCGTAAAGATTATTTTGTCCAGCCTAGCGCAAGCAACATTTTGTTCGATTTTGTTCTAGTGTTGTCTTGTTAGATTGGAATATTATCCAGAAGATGGCATGACTGAATATAAACATTTGACGTATGGGGTCACATGATCATATCACCATCTTGGAATTTGCGAATGATGGTTTATAGTTGGCATTTCGGTCGATGTCGTGTGGATAAACGATGTGTTTGGTAGTCTGGGTGAAAGGGGAACGAAGAGGTGCGGAAGTCGTTACGGTGTGTTGATTTCGAGGTATTTGGAAACAAAGAGCATGTACTGAATAGACGTTGTAGGAGAACTAAACGTTGCTCGTGTATTTTGGATAGTTTGTAATGGTTTCCAGTATAAATGAGAAGTTAAAATGCAGTGTGAAATACGGGGAATGGGAGATGAAGCTGCCAAGACTAGTACCGACACGTTGCCCAGACCAGGCCGTGTAAATGAAGGTTGGTTGCATATTTTTGCAGCGTTATCTGTAATTAAAGTAAGGTATTTACCCATATTTCATGCAGTGTCTTATGTGTCGTTCGTAATGCCTGTTGTGAAGTGAGAAATGGGGGAGTGGAGTTGACATCACAAAGAGAAGACGAAATAAATTGGGTCAAGTGAGGTCAAATTGTCTTTACGTTGTTGGTGAGGGACTCATGCATTATGCATGGACAGAATTGGAAGTATGACGGCTTACTTACATGGCTGCTTGCTTTTATCATGTTACAATATGTTATTATGCATACACCGATTTTATATTCGATACATTTTATACGTTCGGCCGTATTTTTTTTTTCCGTGACGCAGACTTTAGTAGTATTTGAATTGATGTGGCAGTCTCACAGATTTGTTCCAACATTTAGACCGGTTTTATGTTTGGCAATCAGTTTTATAATAACTTTCATAAGTGAATTACGTAATTCATACGACCATTATTGGTCTGTTACGGATTTGACGTAGCACACTGTCTTCGCGCGACTGGACAACCGTCCAGCCTGCGCATGCGTCTGCCCATTCAGTTTTTAGTTAAGCTCATTTTAAACCTTGTCTATACGCTTGCACCTGCTTGAACATTATGGATTAGTTTAGGTTTTGTTCCTGTTGCTGTTGAGTTCATAGTTGAAGAGAGGTCTTCACAGTAGGGTTGGTTGACATGGGCACATCTAACTGGAAATCTTGAATATTTTCCGGTGCCCTCCTAGGCAGTTATTGGTAAATTTGAATCAAAGTTATTTATTTTCAAAACATTTTCATTAAGTGAAACAAAATTTAGTAAATGCAAGAGCCATATATATAAAATACCAACCAGTAAAAAAGAGATGCTGGCAGTGTGTTATATAATGAGTTAATAACAGCTTCAGGATGTCCAGGCTTATAGCAGTTTATGCAGTATTATTAAATGAAGGTCCATTATTTTCAAAAGCTGGAGTTACTCTGTGCGTGTGATTTTTTTTAATGAATTTATTTTGAATTTTGTTTGAATTCCAACTCTGTACTGGAGGCCATCAGACTTATTTCATTTAAATTTCTTTTGTTAGTGATATCAGCATGGTGGTCATGCTGCTTTGCAGGACAAGAATCACATTTTCTCTGAATCCAAAACAGAGATTTAAGCTCAGCGCCCTTTTATTCCTGGTACATATACTGGCAGACTTGTCAAAAGCCACAGTTCGTGGTGTGTTTCAACCTGGGCTAAAACGAAGCTTGGGAATACCAGGAAACATATTTTTTAGGATATTATATTGTAGCATTCTGATGCACACAGTTAATTAAGAAATGTACATGCAATATAAGGGAGGCATGCTGTAGCGTAGTTGGTTAAGGCACTATGCTACAAGCCGGAAGGTCGCGGATTCAAGTCCCGATGAGGTCATTGGATTTTTTTTCAATTGACCTAATCCTTCCAGCCGCACTATGGCCCTGGGGTCGACTCAGCCTCTAACAGAACTGAGTACCAGGAATTAATGAAATAATTTTCCTGGTGAGTAAAGCGTGGCCGGCGTGTAAGGCTGACAACCTTATTGCTGTCTTTGAGCCAATTGTCTAGATAATGTGAGGCCCTCAACATCTCACAAGCCTATGGGCCTTCACAGCCTGTTACAGGGATAGCTTTACTTACTTTTTTTTACACACAATATAAAAAAGAAACTCAGTCCTGCTTAACAAAGCATTTGTGCTGCCTCAAATTCCTGGGATTCTTTTCTGTTCCCCTTCCATATCACTGTTCACTTTGCAGATGTTAATTAAAAATGCAGTGTGAACATAAATTATGACCTCCACTGTCATAGAAAAGTGGTGCAGAAGATAGTGTTGTGTGGAATGAAATGCCTTGTAGTCTAGTAGGAAGATAGCGACTTTTGGAGGAACTGGCTGTCTCCATCTTCAAGAGACACTCTTATAAGAAGAAGAGAGAGGTAGCTGGTTCCTCCAAAACATTAGTACCTTTGAACCAGACTTCACAGCATCATGGTCCAGAAGACAGTAGTTTTAGTAGTCACCACAGTAAAAATCGAATCTCACAAGAGGTACAGAATCTAACACAACTGCAGACATGTTTTCTTATTATGGGGGTGGGATGAATGTTGGTATTTGTAAATGTATTGTGCATCAAAATGTAAATGATGCCTTGCCAAAAACTGCTTTTGTTGGATAATAATGAGACATCATTGTTTTATCCCATGTTTATAACGTGTGGTTGTCTAGACTGAAGGTTGCTTTATTCACGTGCACCAGCCTGAAGCAAATTATCCTAGGATTTTTGCCTGTATGAATATATGGAAAATAAAAGGAAATGAATGAATCTATTGTGTGTTCGTTCACTGAGTACACAATGACCATGGAGATCATACATTATGTGTAGTTTGTTGCTAAATAATCCATGCTGTTATTAAAGGGGCTGGCCATCTACTAGTGATGTGTATTATTTCCCAGTATTGATAACAGTAAATTTATATAAGATCTGTCAAGTGATTAGTTGCATCAGTGTTGAGCAAAATACTAGGCTTAGTCTTATACAGGGAGGATTGTTACTCGCCTGGTGAGTTCACTGCTCTGCGCTTCACAGCGGCCTGCCATGAGGCCGATATAAATTTTGCTGATGAATCAGCCAATAACATCGGGAATGAAGAAACGAAATTAACTTGTAGACTGCTTCATGGCATTTTGCATGTGAGTTTGTTTATGATTTGTCAGCAGTGGGCAGCAGTTATGAACTCCAATAGCCGTTTCTTCTTAGTTACAGTTAGTGAGCAGTGTGGTACGTCATGGTGCGGTATACTTTAGAGAAACACATATTTCTGTATGACACCTATGTGAAATACAGATCTGCTGGAAAGTGTCAGCGAGAATTTCATGATGAAATAATTTCCAGCAGACAGACAGTTCGTAATTTGGTGAATAAACTTAGAACAACGGGACTCTTCATAGGCAAGAAACAAAAGCATAAGCTCTGAGTGCTTACTGAGAAGTTACATGACACAGGGGCCAGGCTTGAACATATACCTAGAAAATGACCGAAAAGTCTTAACTCTTGAGGCTGGAGTGTCGAAGTCTAGTGCAAGAGCAGCAATACAATTGCTGAAGCCATCCAGTGAAGTTGGTGTCTGGTGCGCTGAAAGTGCAAGGTGGAATGTTGTACCTGTGTTTTTTAACAGTTAATGGCAAAAAGATACTTACCTGTAGAGAGGATGGCATTTTCAACACCTTCTGTGATCTGTGAATTGTAACTTCTTCATTCTGAATATTATCGGCCATCAGACATGTTGATTCATCAGTAAAATTTGCATGCACACTGCTCGCTGTGAAGTCCAGAGCTATGAGCCAACCAACAAAGTTAAAAAAGGACACTTGTAGCTTTGCAACAGTAGTTATGTTGGGTAGAACTTCAATTTTCCCATTTGTTTTCAGATTTGCATTGTTGCCTAAAGTGGTAATACTGTATTTTCTCTCTTTTCCTGCTAATTTTCATTGAAGTTTACATTTTTATGGTGTTTTGGCTGTATGATCCTCTGGGGTGCTTTTCTGGACATGGTAAAGAACCATCATTTCCTGAACCAATTTAAAATTATACTGGCAACTACGTATATGTATCACATACTTGAACATCAAAAGAATTTGGCATTCAGCCCATATAATGTGTTTTTTTTTTTTGTGATTCTCAGAATAAACAGTGATTGTTTCCCTGTACAACTTTAACATGTTGATCTTTGTGTGTTTTCTGTGATGTAGGAACTGAATTTTTCTATAGTTACTTGAATTACAGCCTTGAAAGGGCAAACAAATTCTGCTTCACCCTTATTTTCCCAGTTCACATATAATCTTCCTCCAATTGCAACTGTTAAATATCTTCTGCATTTGATACGTTGTTGTTAAATAATCAAAGATCCAACAATCCTTACTCCATTAAAATTTTGTGGTGATAGAAGTTATAGAAGTGGGGTGAGACTGTGGCCTCATGTGTGTCTGTTCTAACAACTGATGACAGATGGCAGAGAGGATTGGTGGAATGTAATTGGTAAGAGGAAACTGAAGTGCTTGGAGAAGTGCGTGGGCCAGTGCTACCTTGTCCACCATAAATTTCACACAGACTATCATGGGACTGAACCTAGACCTCTGCAATCAGAAGCCAGTAACTAGCCACCTGGGTTATGTCATGGTGATAAAAATAGTTCTGCTGAAAGTTTCTGTTAAACTTGTGTATATCTGCCTTTGTATGAGAAATTGTTTCACATGAGTTGCGGCCAAGTGGGAATATTCTGCTGGGGTTTCATTATTTTGACTTTTGAAACAGGGAACATAATCACATGCCTTTTTTCCAGGTGTAGGTCATGCGTGGTACCCAAACAAATGATTTTATTCCCCTCGTACTCTCCTTTGGCTGGTCTTTGTCTGCATCCAGCTGCCCCCTCTTCCTGTGGCATGGATTGGCTGGTTCCCCAAGTGTTTAACCGGGTTGCATGATAATTAATTCCTCATACAGGATCTTGGTTGTTCACTTATGGTTTTATTTAACAGTGCTGTTAGTAGTTAATTGTTGTGTAGTGTGGAGGATGATTGATTTATGAATAATGAATGGAAAATTTATGGAAGGAAGTGATTGTGACATAATTTGAGGTACTATCCAAACATTTTTATGGAATAACTTAGGCAAATGAGAAACGTTAGGCAGGTTACCTGGTCTCTGGGTCTAGATTTGTGTTTGGGAACTTATTAATATGAAGTAGGAGAGCTACCCACTTGACTGCGATGTTTGGCATCTGGTTTACATTTCCATAGTCTTTTGTTTAGTATAGGTGTATATATTTATTTATTCTGTGGTGAATAGTAGGTCACTTAACGATAGTCTAACCACTACACCAATAAAGGGGTATAAAAGGCGTGGAATCTGGACGTCCATACTAGATCATCCCGGTTAATGCTGAACGTGGATGCAGCAAAATTAGTCATAATGCTGCTACCTATCAAATTACATGGCATCACAACCAAGAAGACTGAAATCTTAATAAATTTGAAATTTTTGAAAACAGTCCTCAAAGAAATATATCTGAGAAGACACAATAAATTGGGCATAGGAGCTCTGTGATTTTATACAGGTTATCTGTTAATGTGGACCTCCTCTGTGGTCTAGTGGTCAGAGGTCCTGAGTTCGATTCCCGGCGCCACCAGATTTTCTGAGAAGTAGTGAGTCTGGAACGGGGTCCACTCAGCCTCATGAAGGTAACCGAGGATCTGTTTCAAGGAAATAGCAGCTCCAGTCTGGAAAACCGAAATTAATAGCTGTGGAGATTCATTGCACTGACCACTCAGAATTCTCTATCCACTGAAGTTGGCACTAACTTCACTGACAAGCTGCTCTCGGTCGGTATAGTTCGCTTGCAGACTAAAATCATGGAGTTGTTTTTTGTTTGTTAATGTTTGAAATGTGAACTATAGGAAGGTGTGATAGTCTGGATGTGTAATCTAAATATTGGACGCATCCAGTTGAATGTTGTGGAGTTGTAAGCATTCCTGCTTCATATTCAGGAGGTCTGAGGTTCAGATCTTGTCCTGAAAACTGTCTGCTCTGGCCAAGGATTTTTGTTCCTTCAGGTCCTAGAAAATTTGGTGTGTTACCATACGAAGGTGCTACATTCTTTGCAAGTCATTCTTCAGTCATATATTATTTGGCATTACAAAACCTTTCCAGTTGAGAAGGGTTTGTTACTAATAGAAGAGTGAAACAAGAAATACGTACAAAGTTTTGGGGAGGAAACTTCCTGGAAAATGGCCAGTTGGAGAACCAGGAAGATGGCAGGATAACATTAAGGTTTTTAGAGCAGGAAGAGGATTGAACTATGTCAGGATTATATGCAGTAGTGGCTTTGTAACTGGTTTTTTTGAGCATTTGGATTCTGGTACTAGAGTGATGGTTTTGGGGTCGATGTAGGATGACTAGCTGCTAAGAAGGGCGTTTGCTTTTTGTGCAATGAAGCACAAGCAATCTACACTCAGATCTAGTGATTCACATGACAGCAGTTTACAGTTGACAGATGCCACAGTACAAGTTCTGAATGACATCAGCACATTCCATACATGTGATTCAACATTTTTACAGTGTGACAAGTGCACTCCTTCACATACATTGGGAAAGCTGTGCTTTCTGTATTGAGAGATCCATGAAGTTAGGATAGGTCTGTTATCTCTTCTGTGTCTTATAAAAGAAGACAGCTGATGGGCCATCCTTGAGGCACTTCTTCAGTACCTGCCTGCAGTTTTCTATAGCTTTACTCATTCCACGCGAATTGTATCCTNGACCTGTATCCTTTGTGATAGTAAATTTGCTGACAGGGAGCAATAACAGTGGTGTCGGTAGTAGCGGGTTTTTTTTTTTGTAAAGAAATGTCTGGCAAATATAATTATTATCTGGCCAGACAACTGAGCCAACATTTGTTCACCTCTGAATACTTGTATGTCTTATGTCACACTGAAATTCTTCCTTTGTTCTCATTTGAAGGATACTGTTACTTGGCTTGGTCACCTGTCCAGTGCCTCAGGCAGGGAAGGTCTTGTCCTCTTTCCTGTAGCTCCATGTAGAGAGGACAGCTGATAATGTGTTCTTTATTTTTGTTATAACATAATACATTATTTAAAATGTTATGTCTTCCATTTGCTGTTATTTTAAAGTTCACTCCAGTAAGTAGCTTTGCAGTTGGTCAGTCTGCATAGTGACTGGGTTACAGATTAGATAACCAGAGAATTGTAGTTTGATTATGAAAGAGGGGAATTTCTCTTCACCTTTGCATCCATCGCTGGAGCCTGCCTACCCTTCTATATGGAGCATATTGGGGATTATTCCCCACGAGTTAAGTGGCTGGGGTGTGAAGATGACCACTGACCAACATCTAGTGCCAGAGGTTAAAATCAGCTAAAGCAGTGCCTTTGCAAGAAGGTCAGATATTATTGTGGGTCCTAGTGTCAGTCCTTTATATTTTATATAATACTAACATGTTTTTATTTCACATGGATTCCTGTTGTCACATAAAGGATGGGACATGTACATATGTCCCGGATAGGGACCAGTGGCAGGCTCTTATGAAGACAGTAATGAACCTTCACTGTTAATAGAAGATAAGGAATTTCTTGACTACTTAAGTGACTGTTAGCTTCTCAAAAAGGGCTGTTCCATCTGAGCTAGTCAAGAATGTACCCATCTTCCACTGGATAATATCTGGAGCCACATGGATCCAGTTTACACCTTCATGCCCTATTATTTAACATCCAATTTAATATATCCTCAAACTTATAGTAGCATGGTTCCCAAATTTTCTCTTTATTTCAGATTTCCTTACTAAAAGCTCACATTTTTCTCTCATGCATGCTACATGCCTTGTTTATATGATTTTCAGTGATTTCGTCTTTGTTTTGTTCAGTGAAGAGCACAAGTTATGAAGCGTTTTATTATGTAACCCATTTTTCCTTGACACTTTTTTCTTAAGCACCGTGAGTCCATGTTTTTCTCTTAGGGTACAAATGTGCCCCTCATCCTCTTCCTCCCTCAGAAATGAGTTTCACACTGGACTTTAATACCAAAGTTTCAGAGGAATCTATCTTCCAGACTAAATGGTGTCGCATTTCAGAAGACTGTAATACCAATTAAAAATTGTGCGGATCTCAAATCTTGCATTGGTTTATCATGTTTGAGAACAAGGTGCTGAGGAGAATATTTCGATCTGAAGGGAAGTAACAAGATGGAGAAAATTACATTATGAGGTTCATAATTTATACTCTTCATCCAATATTGTTAGGGCACATGGGCAGTGAGATGGGTGGGGCTTATAACACACATTGGAGAAACAAGAAATCTATATAAATAAAAATAAAAATCAGAAAAGCTCAATGAAAGAGACTTTGGAAGACCTAGCTGTAGATGGGCAGATAATATTAAAATGTTTAAATGCAATACCGTATTTACGCATGTATAGGCCACACATTTTTTGCCAAAAATTCAAGAGGAAAACTGGGGTGCGGCTTATATTCGAAATATTCGAAATCACACTTCATTTAAAAAAATTAAACGTTACCAAATTTCGGAATAATTTCTACTCCTGAAATAATATTCGAAGAAAATTATTTTTTCTGTAATTTCTGTCTGAAAATTGTGCTGCGGCCTATACACGCATGCGGCCTATACATGTGTAAATACGGTATTTTCTGTGCAGCCCATGCCGAGATGTTATAAGCAGGACAAGTTAGTAGTTTTAGTATAAGTAGAGGACCAATGTGGTTCAGTCGTTGTGAGCTGTTGCTGTTAGAAGCTGGTAGCTGAGGCTGGGGACAGTTCAGAAGTCCAGAGGAAGGGTAACGTCTGCCGTTGGAAGCCATTACCAAGCAACAACAGTGAAGACTAGACTGTGAGCACTAGTGTGTTTGTAACAGTGATCTGTAAAGTGTAGTCACATGCTGTATCAGAGTGTCCAGTAAATCAAGTCACCAATCCTAAACTCCTATATAGTCACACTCTATCACATGACAGTATATTTTCCTCCAGTTTTCTTCATTTGTGGTCTCTTTGCTGGGTGACCATAGCCTGTTTCTTTAGAGAGTAAATCCAGCCTCTTTTCACTGCTTTTTTGTGACTTGGGAAACACTTAATGCATATCTATAAGTGAGCCATGTTAGTCACAATTTTATTTCATGGAAACCCTGAAGGTCTCAAGTGAACATTGTGATGCCATCGTAGTAAATAATAAGATTTTGTTGAAGGGAAATATATACCCATCAGTTGATCGTAAAACATAATCACTATTATCGTACCTTTGCAGTTTGTTTTAAATGAAACATAGACAACAAGTCGGCGTCTTTTGCTAGTTATTTTATGCATGTTTATATTATCCATATTAATTCTTTTATCCACAGCCAAATGGGTTCTGATACAGTGTTTTATTTTCAGTGTGTCGTGAGTGGCTAGTCAAAGAGGATGGAGCACTGGCCTACAGACTGCAGACTGAGGAAAGTAAGTGACATAATAACAAAGTGAAGCTTTTAATTTATTATTATTTGTAATTAATTAAAAAAGTAAAGGGTGATAAAACTGACTAGTAATTATTGAGGGATATCATTGCTATCAACGTCATACAAAATTTTATCCAATATTCTTCATACATAAATGAAATTTTTGGGGATCATCAGTGTGCGTTTCGATGTAACAGATCAACTACAGATCAGATCTTTTGCATTTGTCAGATATTGGCAAAAAAATGTGAGTACGATGAGGCAGTACATCAGCTATTCATAGACTTAAAGAAAGCCTATGATTCAGTTAGAAGGGAAGTATTGTACAATATTCTGATAGAGTTTGGGATACCCATGAAGCTAGTTAGGTTGATTAAAATGTGTTTAAATGAAACGTATGGTAAAATCCATGTAGGTAAACATTTGTCTGATAAATTTCCTATCCAGAATGGTCTAAAACAAGGAGATGCTTTATTGCTTGCCACTCCTTTTTAAATTTGCTTTAGAATATGGCATTACGAAGGTCCAGGGAAACCAGATGGGACTGAAATTAAATGGGACACATCAGCTGTTGTCCTATGCCGATGATGTGAATCTACTGGTTGATAATGTAGATACCATAAAGAAAAACACACAGACTTTAATTGACGCAAGTAAAGAGGTTGGTCTAGAAGTAAACACAGAGAAAACTAAGTATATGTTGCTGTCTCATCACCAAAATGCGGGGCAAAATCATGATATAAAGATAGGAAAGAGATGTTTTGAAGATGTGGCGCAATTCAGATATTTGGAAACAACGATAACAGATAGAAACCTGGTTCAGGAGGAAATTAAGAGGAGATTGAACTTGGGTAATGCTTGCTACCATTCACTCCAGAACCTTTTGTCTTCTCGTCTGCTGTCCAAAAACATAAAAATTAGAATATATCGTATAAAACTATAATCTTGCCTGTGGTACTGTATGGTGTGAAACTTGGTCTGTGACATTAAGGGAAGAACATAGACTGAGGGTGTTGAGGAGAATATTTGGACGGAAGAGAGATGAAGTGACAGGATGTTGGAGAAAACTGCATAATGAGGAGCTTCATAACTTGTACTCTTCTCCAAGTATAATTAGAATTATCAAGTCAAGGAGGATGAGATGGGCAGGGCATGTAGCACGAATGGGGGATATGAGGAATGCATATAGGATATTGGTGGGAAAGCCAGAAGGAAAGAGACCACTTGGAAGACCATGGCGTAGGTGGGTGGACAATATTAAAATGGATCTTAGAGAGATAGGATGGGATGGTATTGATTGGATTGATCTGGCTCATGATAGGGACCAATGGAGGGCTCTTGTGAACACAGTAATGAACCTTCAGGTTCCATAAAATGCTGGGAAATTCTTGAGTAGCTGCAGAATTGGCGGCTTCTCCAGAAGGGCTCAGCTCAATGAGTAAGTAAGTAAGTAAGTAAAGGTATCCCTGTAACAGGCCGTGAAGGCCCATAGGGTTGTGATGCATTGCGGCTCCCACATATTCTAGACAGTCAGCTTATAGATGGCAGCGAAGTTCTCAGCCTTACGCACCAGCCGCCCTTTACCTGCAGCAAGATTCCTGGTACTCGTTTCTGTTAAGAGACTGATTTGACCCCAGGGACGTGGCGCAGCTGGAACCATCGGGCCAATTGAAAACTCAGTGACCTCATCAAGAATCGAGCCCGTGACCTTCGGGCTTGTAGCATTGTAATTAGTCACTTAATTTCCATAGTATTTTATTTATTTCTGTTTATGGTGAATTAAAGAGCCAGGATAGTGTAGTCGGTATAGTGACCAGCTACTGGTTGGACGAGCAAGAGGTGAGAGTTCTGAGTTGCGGTAGGGTCAAGAATTTTCACTTCTCCATGTCGTCCACACCGGCTCTGGGGTCCACACCTCCTCCTATACAATGGGTATCAGGGACTCTGCCAGGGGTAGAGCGGCGAGGGCATGAGGCTGACCACTCACCTCCAGCTAGTGCCGAGGTCAAGAAAACACGGATCTATTCATCCCCTTTCCGATATGTCTTCATGGCACGATGATTAATTAGTTAAGAACAGGGACGACTGTATCTTACCTCTCTGATGAATTTAACAGTGGTCTCAGTGGCACACATTATATAATGTATGATAAGACCATTAGTGAATAATGAATTGGAATGGATGTGGAAGGAAATGGCTATAGCCTGATTTGAGGAACTATACTTGCATTTGCTTGGAGGGACTGAAGAGAACTACAAATTATCTCACAGTGACCTGTCTCTGGCCCGAGATTTGAATACGAGGCCTTTTGCCAGTTAAATCCATGGAGTTGAGCCCTGCATTAGCAGTTCGCCTCTCAGCAGTGATTTACACTGTTTCTTGCTGCTGGCACTGTACTGTGTTACCTATTCTCCATGCTGGTCCCCCCTCCCTTCTCACCATCTCATGTGTGAGGCCACAAGGTTGCACTGGGTGTTGTATTACAGCAATGTGGGTCCATTGAAATGCAAAACAGGGATGTACACTCTTGGCAACATAAGCCACTTCCTGTTCTCTGGAAGTTACCTGCACCTTGTCTAGGAAGAATATAGATTGATAATTCATGTTGTGGTCTTTTGAGTTGTGGTGCTGTAGTACTGTGTTTGGTGAGTACTCACGTTTCACAGATGGAGGCGGTATGTTCACTGGAATAGAGCTCACCTATGAGAGTACATGGTTCCATAACCAGATGACATGGATAAAAGTGGTTCCATATGAAGGTAAAGGTAACATGTCCTGAAATGGTACCCATCTACTGGACCACACAGTCATAATAACCCAGCAGACCACAGTGTGAATAGGTCATCATAGTTGGTGCAGAGGCTTTGAGAAGATTTCAGAGTGTCCAAATATTTGGAATTCAGCTAACGGACTCGCTCATTGCATGGAGCATGTGCTACTTGAGAAGGCAATAGTCACTCAGATAATCAAGAAATCATATGCCTTTCATGGGACTTGAAGGTTCATTATTGTGTTCACAAGAGACCGCCCCTGTCCCAAGCCAGAATAATCCATTTCACTTCCTAATGCTATGTCTTTTTAGAATCTATTTCAGTATTATCCTTCCATCTACTCCTAGGTGTTCTAAGTTGTCTTCCATTCACATCTCTCCAACTAAAATTTCATATGCACTTTTGAACTCTCATATGTGCTACATGCCAAGTCCATCTCATCTTCCTTGATTTGATCTCCCCCCCCCCAAAAAAAAATATTATGTGATGAATAAAAGTTTGAATGGGAACCTACCTGCAGTGATAAACTCCCTCATTAATCTTGGCTGTTAAGTAGAAGGCAGTTTTGTAGATGACGGAAATGATGCAGTTTTAATGCTGCTGTTCCATTTGTGGAGAGGTATGCTAAACTGACTGTGGTGTGTGCACTTTGGTCTGGTCTGGGCTAGGATCAGCTTACATCCAGCTCCAGTTGCATGCTAGAGTGGCACAGATAGATTCAGCAGTCAGCGATTCATATCAGTGCCTGGTCAGTAAGGTTGAGAACTACATAAAAGGATACTGTGAAGGATTTTAGAATTAAATTCTAAAGGAAGTACGTATGTGTATGGGATGATCAAGCAGAAGGTGGATTATCCAGGTATTGAAAGACCTTAAGAAGAGCGGAAAGAACTTAAAGAAATTGAAAGTGAAAGATGTTGGAAGAAAGAAGAGATTTGACACTTTCATCCATTGACCCTTGAAAAATAGAAACAGTGCTATACGAAGGATTAAAGGGGGGAAAAACACAATATAGTGTTTATGAAGTTAGCAGTAGCAATTTTAGTGTTCTGGGTTGTCACCCTGTGTAGTTTTCTATGCTGGTGTTGAAAGAATTTGGTTCCCTCCAAATTAGTGCCTATATATGAAACTTCATGGCATCAAATTCTAGAACACCAGACTCTTAATATTCAGATCTTGCATGGAACCATATGTTTGGCAACTCCTGTAAGAAAAGGCTATGCCAGTCTTGCATGAAGGTGATGCAGGAACCCACATGAGGTTGTGGTGCATTGAGTACAATGTATTCAGTCTGCATTTTGTATTGTAATGTGAAGGTAGCTTGTGTGACAGTTATATGTCTGTCGAGGTGCAGGTTTGATGTTTCAAGAATTAGATTTATAGTTGTGCAGTAACTATTTGAATAACTACACGGTCTGACTGTGTTGGGTAGATCATCCATGTTATTGGTGTTGGTTGTGAGCAACAGTTCAAGACTTGCATTCTGACTGTAAACATGTTTTTTTCATCATCCTCCAGTTATAGTAAATTGATTACAGAATGGGGATTGAGGAATCAAAATATCAATTTTGAAACTGAGTTTAGGACAGTGGTTTACTTTTTTCAGTTGAAACACTCTTATTGGTCTTTCCAGCCACTGGACCCACAGATTTAAACTGATACGAGGGATATGGATAGTTGCAGATGTTGTGATGTTGAGAGAGATGGATAACTTGTCATCCCTAACCCATTGGTCCATGTGTCATAACCTCGTAACACTAAGAAATCATAGTGACCTGTGTTTAGTATAACATATGAATATATAGAAATAGGAGCATGTGGACAATTGGTGAGGACAAATCACGAAATCTGCCAGCACAGGATACTTTAGAAATCAATTTAGAGTTGCGCAGAGTTCATTCTGAACTTCGAAGACTTCACATTGCCATCACAAATCAGATCCACACACTCAAACAAACTGTTCTGCAGGCACCAGCAAAACGATGTGAATGGACACATGAAAGAAATTATGTACAGGCCAGTCGGTTTCCCAGCATGAACTCTTCTTCCACATGGAAGTCTGTTATGCCAGCAAAAGTTCACAAACGCTCATCAGGTTCATTTTTACATGAAGACATTCCAGTCATTAGTGACAGTAAATTGCAGAGAAGGGATATGCTTTTGTTCCCCGAGAGAAGTTGGGCTCAGTTTAGTAGTACAGAGGAAGATGAAAATGGAGCTGGACCGTGCTCTGGTTTTGGTTCCATGTCGCCAGGTTTCTCGGACAGTCCTGGAGTGACTTCTAACAGTGATTTTTTTAATATTAAAGAGACTTCATCACAGTGCAGCACATGTCAATATGTGCAGAATGCTGGCAGTGTGGCGAAAATTCAGGAAAATAATTTGCCTCATGGTGCTCTGACAGCTGCTGTTGGAGCTACCCATTCACCACTTTCCTTGCCATCAGTGGGTCATATGAGTGTTGACCCAAGACGTCACATTGTAGCATCAGCTGATGATTGCAGTCAACAACCTAACATCCTGTTGGATTATTCCCCTCTGGGATCTATTGAACAGACCAGTGAAACTGACAGAGTGATGCATGGGCCAGTACATTTTTGTGGCAAGGTTGGGTATTGCTCGCCAGGTCCTATCATCGCTCGCCAGTTGGAGGACACAATCTGTGTTGAGCTGCGTGCTCTCACAGTGACAGTTGAAAGAATTGGGTTACAGCTTCAGCAGATGGATTTGACAAGACAGAGCCCAATTGGTCAGTACCATCAGTGGTTAATTTCAATGACAAAATTGTATATTTGCAGTTTTGTCTGAACTATGCCATTGCTGTTAAATGCTGTCATAGTAAATCAATATAGACCGAAGGTGTTTGTATAATATTTATACATTATCATCGTTTCCACCAGAGTGGATGATCTTGTCATTAACCCTCCTCTATTTCCATTGTCCCACAAGTGCTACTTTTGAGATGTGTCCAGTCTTTCATGCTCTGTATGTCTTCCTTCACTTGATCTCCCCATGAGCTGTTTATTCATTTCATCAGTCCCATTGCAGTCCTGTTTCCCTCTTTTTTTTTTTTTTTGCATCAGACCACCAACTTTTCTTGCAGTAACAAGATGTGCTGCTTCACACTGGTGATTATTCACATTTTGACCCTCTGGATTTTGATATCACTTTTTCTTGTAGGTTGATGCTAAAGTTTTGGAAGAAGTTGCTACACCCGTCTTTAGGCGCCATTTCAGGCCTGAAGATGGAGGCAGCAGAATCATCCAAAACATTGGTATTGACCAATAAAATTATACAATATCACAACGTAGGATCACAGTCCAAATTTTCTTGTAGTATTTACCATACCTGCAAATCTTGATGAAGTCCCTTGGTTTGGGGTTTCATTCCTTTATATTTGTAGCCCATAGATACTTATGCTGCATGGTGTAACATGTAATTTTGGTTATAGTCAAGCACCACTATACAGGCAACAAGTCTCGGAATGCCCTTGTGCGTCAGGACTTCCCCTGTGCCCTGGATGAACAGCGTCGTGAAGAGGAGGAGGCTGCTGCTTTGCAGACCATGTATCATCAGATGGTCCATCAACAGTGAGTAGTTTTTATTTGTTATTCCTTAATTTGAGCTTTGTTGGCCATCCATTGCACTTAAAATGAGTGGCGCATGAGGTCCAGCTGGCCAAGCATAGCACTGTTGTAGTCTTGCGTGCGACCAGTACAGATGACTAAACATGGCTCTGTTCAGCAGCACACACTCATTTCAACTGGTGAAGCTTAGAATTGTTTCAGTATTAATAATTTAAAATCCCATGTTCTCAGGTGACAGGGGAATTACACTTGTGACTACAGTTTGTAATAAATTTGTTTAAAATTTCTCAGTATGGTTCACATTCACAACAGGTTACATAGCTAAACACTGACTCTCTTTTTTGTATTATCTGCAGAATAAGTCCATTTTATGTGGGGATGGCAAGAATATGTTGCTGTTTGGAAGAGGAAATGGTATTAACATTAACCCCTACTTGATGATATTGAACCCTGATCATACGACTGATATGCAGATGGGAGTTTAGAAATCTGTCTTCTGGAATGCGTCACCATATGGTCTAGTAGATATTGATACTTCAGAGGAATCTGGAGCCACCATATTAATTGCTTTCTACCTGAAGATGGGGACATTATGTTCATTTGAATTGCTGTTGGCCATCTGTTGGACTACAAGGTGTTATATCCCAGAAGACAGAATTCTTATCTTGCTTATTTTGGAAATATCTTGATTTTGTGCACTGTTTTACAGAGAAAGAGTTTTGATATTTAATTTTATCTAACAGGGATCAGTATATGAAATGGTGTGTTATGAATTGGCCAGAGACTTCCTTGATCAGTAACCAGTTTCTTTGTTGTGCAAAGTAGGGCCATTCCACCGTTTTTTTTTACCAGGAACAAAAGGAACGGTAAAATGTCCAACAGGGTCACTAGAGAGCTGTTAAAGTTTCATTAATTATAATTCGTACTCTAAGAAACTGAATGTCAAGGTACAGACATGAAGATTAAAGTGAACTGTGATTTTGTCTGTTGTTTTGTATGAGTGTGAAACATCCTCACTTCTTTCTTCCTCTAAAAAATTTGGTCTCCTTTATGATGATGCCAGTTTGCTTTGCCTTATCTTTATAGCATACTTTTCTTATTTTGAAAAAAGAAAAGTAGCCTAATTCGATCACCTTGCCATCTGAACCAGTCTTAATGAAACTTGGTATGTGTACTGTGGTACTTGAGCCCATCTCAACAGCATACTTATAAAGCCCTCCCATCAGTCTATGTGTCTCTGTGTGTGTCCCCCCCATCTCTGCTAGGTAATAGCCTGGTAAACAAACTCCCACAGCGGCAAATACTCATAACAATAGAAGAATTGTTGGACTTGTTTTCTGTGCAAACTGTGTTATATGAAAGGATAGTCTGCGTGTCGTCTGTTTATCCCCCTCTCATTACTAGGCAGTGGCTCAGTAAACAAGTTCCCACAGCAAGAAAGAATTGTTGGTGGCGTTTTCTAACCCAACCAGCTCATATTATAGGAGAGTAGGTGATTATCTCTTCCCTGAACTTTATGTTAGGTAATGATGAAGATATAACAAAATACCTGGTTGTATTGGTGTGTCAGTTTTGTATTTGAAGTATTTCTTATGGTAGTGTAATGCCATGTTTTCTCATCCAGGGAGGAGATTGATGCCCAGGTAGCAAAGCAGCTGGCAGAGAAGATAGAGCGTGAAGAGCTTGAAAAACGGCAAGCTCTGGAGGAGGGGGACCAGGAGATTGCTCGCAAGCTGCAAGTGAGTACGATGCACCCTTAAAATAAACTTGCCTTGGACATGAAATTATACATATTGGTCCATAAGAGATTTTAGCTTTTCAGCGGCAGTGAAGATTTAGATTGTAGTCCTGAGTTATGGCTGTTTCAGCCCAAAGACCATAATTTAGATTGGTCCATGTTGAGAAAAGATGGACAGTGCAAGGTTGATCTTATTAAAATTGGAAAGTTTTGGCCAAATTGGCAAGTCGCATGAAACATTAGATTACATCCGTGAAGAAATGTTAAAGAGATATTGTAGTTGATAATTATTGAACTGGACTTGTGTAATATAATCAAAAGTTCCACTTGTAGCTGCGAGAACAAAGAACAGATCATCATTATCATCATCATAAATATTTGTGTTGGAAAACCTCAAGGTAGGAGACTGAGTGGGAGACATAGACATCATAGAGAAGTTGTGAAGTAGATGTCTTAGTATACGCCTGTATGGTGAATTTAGTATTGCCATCGTAGGGGCTGTGACTCCATATAGAGTAAATTCTTAGCAAACTGAATAATTACCAGCTTCTGCAGTGAGGCCCTGTAACATAATATGATTGGCTGTGGTTGGAATACGTTGTCCTCTAAACAGATTTGTGTTAGAAGTCACTGATTGATATGCTATGTTTGTTTTGTTGTGATGTCCCATGTTACATTGCTCCACTAGGAGCCCTTTCATATAGTACTGTGACTCCAATGGAAAGGGTATAGATTCTTTGCAGGAGTTATGTCATGCCATGTGTTACACTAAATGATACTGTTTCTCTCCCTTCACTTGTTCTACTGTAGCCGAGCTCTTCCTTGGATGTTGGAGTGGAAGAAGGGGAGGTAAAAATTTAGCTGTTTGCTGTATATTGGGCTGCTCAGTGTCTGTATGAAGGCATGACAAACTGCATTTGCTTGTGCTCCTTATATGTAAACCATAGTGGGAGGAATGCCATTTAAATGTACATGTTTTTTATTTTTATTTTTTTGTTACTAAAGAGTTTCGCTCTTAAACAGGTGTGTCACTAGGTAAAAATTAAGATAACGAGATGGATTAGACAAGTTGCAAGTAAGGTGAAAGGTGAGAAATACAAAACTTTAGTCTGGAATCTCATAGAAAGAGATCACTTATAAGGCATAGCCATAAATGGGGTGAAAATATTAAAATGGATCTTGAAATTAATCTTAAAATACAGGATTCGAGGGCATGGAATAATATGAAAATTCAGGCTCTATAACAGGCTGGGAATTTCTTGAGTAGCTAAGGAACTGTTAGCTTCTCAAGAAGGACTCTGCTGGCTGGAATAAACTAGTTAGTGTGTTAAGTTGGCTGTGAAGTAAATGAACAAGTTTCTGTTATTGGCATAGGTTTCAGTAATTCGTTTCTATGACTATTCAGAATGGATCTGGGATCCGCTCATTCATCTGTCCATAAACTATCTGACTTTGAAGTACTGGTGCATGAATTTACCTTACCTTTTTACCCAGCTTATGTTAAGGTGTAGAGAGTGTGGTATTCTACCTTGATGTCCTCTATTCATGTCCTTGATGTGGTATGTGGTCATAGGTTTAACTGTGTATGTTCACGTTAAAGCATCATGTATGAACTGAGATAGTCCAGTAAATTGTCCAGCTGTAGGTTGGTATTAGGGTTCCGTTCTCAACAGGAGCAGATATTTTTTCTTCAAAAACATATCCACATTAGCTCTGAGGCCCATCTAGCTTCCTGTACAGTAGAGCTCAGAAGTGAGTGTCTAGAGTGTGAAGCTAACAGGATGCATCAGGTGCCAAGGTTAGGGATACATGAAAATATACCTCCATTCCTTTTGTGCCTTTATCTTTATCATAAAGTACTGTGCAGGTAATCTGCAAGCCTGTGTCTGCCTTTTCTCTCTTCCCATAACTTTCATCTGTGTACTCAGTTCCTGTTCTTTGCATTGTCACACCCACATCTCTTTGTTGTCTTCCTGTAGATATTTTATCCTTTTCACGTGCTCTCTGGCTGTGCCAGTTGCACAAGTATGTGTTTCATATGAAATTACAGATGTAAGCAGCATGGTGCACAGACTGTGTCTGTCCAGTGATGAGGACCAGCTTTATGTGATATGCTCTATGGACTTAGTGTAGCTCCATCTGTGACTAGATGTAGGCTGGACAGTTCCTGGTGAGGGGGACTGGGCTCCTTCCCTTCACTACCATGTCCATACTGGCCTTGGAGCCCAATTCGCACCATATCCAGTGGGTCCTGGGGATTCTCTCTCCGGGGGTAAAATGGCTGCGGCATGTAGCTGACCATTCACCTACATCCGCCGCTAAGGTTAAGAATGGGTGTAGCTCTTTCCATTCCCCTATATATCTTTGTGGCATGGTGCTTAATTAAGTATGATCTTTGTTAAGGAAGTGAGATGTGTTAGTATTATGTAGGTGAACTTAAGGCTTCAGAGCATCAAAACAGTGAGGTAACATCAAGTAAAAATGACCATATTCAACAGGAACGTGAACGACTGCGTACTGAGAGGCGGGAGAGGGAACGCCTTGAAATGCAAGCCTCAGCTGAAAGCAGCATTGATCACCCTCAGTATGATCGAGACATGAATAATGTTGGTCTGCCATCTCCGTCCCAGTACAGCCCAGAGGCACTCTCTCAACAGTTCAGGTATGTAGGGTCTGCTAGTGTGTAAACGAACTAGAATCTGCACATAAAACTCTTGTATCTACTCTAGAAGGCTTCCCACATAATTTTCATGCACATGTCCATTCTCAGCAGTCTTCCACCATGATGTTACGAATTCCTCAGTGTTACGGTTGTATTCCGTTTTTGACTTATCTTCTGATAGTTTATATATAGAGACAACAGATGGCAGGAGTTGTGTACTTTCTTAAGTAGTGTGTATCCATGTTTCTTCTGCAGAATTCATGCAGTGTACCTGCTAGGAGTGAGGTTAGAAATGGAAAAGGAAAGCTTCAGTGATTCTTGAGTTCAGGTTTCCCGTAATTCTTTATGTGCCCCAGCCCAAATATCTAGTTGTCAGATATCTTCAGTTTAGTTCCCAATGAAGTGTCCAGCAGGAAACATTAAATAGAAATTTTGTCAGGCATTCATCTTACTGTTTCAGCAAGAGCCTTGACAGCTCAAGCTTAAATCATCTTCAGCCAAAACACTAATTACATGTAACATACTGGGGAATATTCATGAGAGTATCCAGTAGGAATATGATCTTGTGGGATGTAAAACCTTGTTTGATACCATAATGTTGCACTTTGTACCAAACTATGCTGCATCACATCCCTGAAATCTGTAATGTTAATATTCATGACCATGAGAATATTTGTATTCATCAGTTAGTTAGCAAATATTAATGAGAGAAATGCTCATCTTTTTAGATACCACTGTTTTACTCCATTTATTGCTAAAACTTTATTCTAAATGGGTGTCTGGTATTGAAAACTAACTGCCGTTCCTGAATTTAATTTTGTGGGTCATGTATATCTGTGCTTCCTGCAACACAGTCTTATTGGTGCTGTAGGCTGTGCACATTGACAGATGCTGCTGTCCAGACCAATAGTATCTGCCAGTCTCCTGAAGAGCCATTTGCTGGCAGCCCCCCCTCACCTCCAGCACTAAGTGAGGAGGAAGCAAGGAGAATACAGGAGGAACAAGATGCTGTGAGTGGAAACTGTTTATATATTGTATTGTATTTTATTTTTATCCTTTTTGCTACATAGTAACACTTGGACAAGTCATTCAGCAATACAAGTTAACAAAACAAATCTACAAAGTTACAAGCATATTACCAACATTTGTTACAATCGTAAGCAATATATAAATACAACATTTAAAAAAATACACAAACTACTGTATATAGCTCGTGAATGGCCATGACATCCAAACATAAGTACTCGCACCATCTGCTTTTTTATTAAAACTAACAAATTCATTTATCGTATAACAAGAATGTTTCCATAAAAAGGATTTTAAGTCTTTTTTAAAAGCTGAAAAACCCACTGAGTTTTTTTATTTTGTTTGGCACCTTACTATACAATTCTATCCCCATATTTACTACACTTTTTTTAATAATGTAGTTCTGCAAAATTGAAAATGAAAATCCTTGTTTATTCTTGTATTATAACTATGAATATTTATATTTTGGATCAAATCTGCTTTGTGCTTTTTTATGTAACAACACCTCTAAGATATACAAAGAAGTGACCGTGAGGATGCCATAATCTTTAAAAATTTGCCTGCATGACTCTTGTTTATGAAGTCCACTAATTATTTGCAGCACCCTCTTCTGCATTTTAAATACCTTTATACTATCACCTTCACCCCCCCAAAATATTATTCCATATCTCAATAACAATTGAAACTTTCCAAAATAAATGCTTCTTAACATTTTTGGACTCAAAATTCTTCTTGGCGATATAGTTATATAGGATGTTTTACTAAGTTTTGAACATAATGACTGGATGTGGTTATTCCATTTAAGGTTTTCTATAATATCTGTACCTAAAAATCTCAGTTCTGGTGAGTAAGCAATTTCCAAGTTATTATAGAGTATCTACGGTCTAACTACAAACCTACTTTTACTAAGATTGAATGACATAGCAACTGTTTTTTTAATATTTGTTAAAAAGTTAGTTACCTGAAACCATGCTTCAGGCTGTTTCATGATCTTATTTATTTTCTGTTGAGCTGCATCTATATCTTTATCAGTAACAAGTACATTTATATTGTCTGCAAACAATACATGTAGGTAGTGCAGATTTGACCCCGAATTTTCTTTGCTTCATGTATACAGTAATGTGGGTCACTGTTATTTTTGCAGCCATTGCATGCGACCCTCCTTTGTGCATAACCATATTTGTGCACACATGCTTAGTCATACTGGAAGATGGCATTTATAGAAGTTAAGTAACATGGTGGAGCAGAGATGTGTAATCAAAGTGTTGTGGAAAGAGAGCTCAGAATTGGCTGATATTCATGGAAAATTGTGTAAAGTTTGGGAATGATGCATCTGAAAACACGGGTATATAAGATTTGTACTGCATTCAAGGACAAAAATGACGTGGAAGCAGTTCCACATTGATTGCAAATACGAGTCAGCAATATGAACATTAATCATGTTTCAAAGCTTATTCTGGCCAACCACTGTGGTTGGTTCTTTGTGTTACATCTTAAAACAAGTAAACATTACTGTCAGTAGTTTACAGACACGAGATTTGATGTTTTCACAGCGGTGTTTGTTCCGACTTGTATTCTGGGTACTTTGAGAATACAAGTACCGTGTGTCACATTTACCATATGTCTGTGAGTTGAACTTATAAAAGATGTGGTAATTCTTATTAAATTTTTGTTTGATTCTCAGAATATACTGATTATTTCCATAAACAACATTAACTGAGTGTTTTTTTTAGTGGGAACATAATTTGTATTCTGTGATGCAGGATCTGAATTTGTAAATACTGTTCATGTAACACAAATTGAAAATTTGAGATGTCTTATCATGTGTTATATGGGCTTTTGGACAGATAATTTTCCCTGCTTACTCCTGTATTCCTTTCTAGTTGTACATGTTATAAATAATCATAAACTGTCCCATATATAATGTACTGCACTTCATATACCCACATCAAAATATCAGTGCTCAACAGAATAGACACAATGATGCAATGTAGCCAAAGACTGCTCACTTATTTGTCACCTGTGTAATTTAAATTCATGCAGCATATTAATGCTTGACATTTTATTTCTGTGGTAACCTGAAATTGTGTTACTTTATGTATGTAGGATTTACATGAACATTATGTTCTAAGGGTTAATAACTTTATCTTCTATTTTATCTCAACTTGAAGCTCATCCTTACCATAATAGGTTTGTTTCTGCAATGGGTGAGCATAGAGGTAGTTTAATGTTGGTCAGGTGTATTTGTTTGTCTTGTGATGTGATCTGTTCTGTGAATGCTTGGTTAGCTCAGTGAGGTGACTGGGTATTGGTTCGATGATCAGGATATGGTGCCTGACGAGGGTACCACTGTTTCAAGACAAACTTTGGGCCCTGTCCCACTGAAGCTTAAAGCTCCTCCAGCTAGTGTCAAGGTTATGAATTCTTGGGGCTGTGTCTGCTCCCTCATGCTTTATAAAGATTTTGCTCATACTACTTCTGGTGTATGTGAAAAGCTTGATAAATGTTCACTACATTTTAATGACTAGTGTACTTGATTGATGATTCTTCAGTTTTTTTATTTTTCAGTTGTACAGTAGAAGATTTATTGTTTAAAAGAATATCATTTGAGTGATACTGGACTGTCCCAGTGAGCGGGTGTTGCCCTAGTCCACGTCGTTCAGTCTCGTGACTAGAGTGACACTCGTCGACTGTGTCATGTTCACTGCAACTTTCATCTGATTAGTGTGTGTATTGTGTAATGTTGAAGTGTACATAATTTTCGAAAGGTATGTGACAGGTTGGTTCATTGTACAAATATGATACTGGCCATTGGACATTGTCTGTTCTTTGTCTGATATGTATACATGGTGTTTCAGAAGTGAATTGTGGGCCCATTTATAAGTCATTCTGCTGTCTTCATAGTGACAGATTTTTATTTTGATTATAATGTGGGTTATGACAGTTTGATTGAACCTGCCACCTTCTCAGTACTAGGCTAATACGCTAACCACTGGACCACCAGGTGGCCCAGGAATAGTTGTTATAATTTAATTATGATACAATTCTGCTGTGTCCTATCACATTGGAGGGGATGGGACATCTAGAGCTCACATCCAGCTGATGACCATTTTTCTGTTCTTCAGCTGAGTAATGACTCATACATATTAAATATTCCTCAGGAAATGGACAGTGTCCAATGTTTAGTGTATTTGTTTACTGGAGTAGGTAACACAAGTTGGTGTTGCTTTCCCATAGGAGTTCGCTCGTCTCCTGCAGGAACAGGAAGGGTCCCAACAGTTGGACATGTTGGATCAGGACAGACTGATGGCCATCGAAGCTCAGGACAAGGAATTAGCACGAATGCTGCAGGAGCGGGTCAGTTCATTTGCTGTGTGTGAGGATATTTTAGAAATCAAAACAAGCATTATTCTAGTTTTGGGAGTGGTGTGAGACTGAGTCCTTTGGTACTGTGGCCTCAAGTGGGCCTATTGTGTTAGCCCATGATATAGATGAGTGTGATGATTGATGGGAAAACTGAAGTGCTTGGAGGAAAACTTGTCCCAGTACCGTTTCATCCACCACAAATCCCACATGGACCATTACTGGTTAACCAGCTCTGACTGTCACCTAGGTAGGATGCGTGCCTGCCTGACTGCAGCCACTGTTAAACAGTTTGTTTCATTCATTAGTCTTGTATTGGCTCACTCACAGACAAGAAGTCTGTGTGTGCGTACAACCAACAGATACATTGCCCATCACATCAGCCCCTGGTGATTAAACAGTGATTGCCTTTGATGTGGCAGTTTGTTGCATACTGGCATGGCTGATTGCTTGAGAAGATTTGTTGCATTAAGTCTCTGAAAGTTCCATATCTTATGTACCATGTTCATAATGGTTTAATTCACTGAGGAAATACAGCAAGACAAGCAGCAAATCAGGTTGTATGTGTTTTGCATGATATGATCCATAGGAGCGGGCTAAAGCAAAGCGAGCAAGGGAGCGAGCCAAGCAGAAAGCGCTCTTGAAGAAGCAGCAACTGCTATCAGAAGATGAGGGTTTTGTAGCTTCACCATCTGCCCATGGCCATCTTCCATCAGGTACTGAATGGGTTGCACAAGATGGACCAAATGCTGCTCATTTTACTGCCATCCGCCCAACTGATCTTGACCTGACCTCAGGAACCAGCAGAGCTGCAGCAAGTAGAGGCAAACAGAGGTGTGTGGTTGAAGATCTTCTGTAATCAATTTGTTCTGTATTTGTATCCACTCCTCCTTTCTTCTTGTCAGAAGGGGTACATACATACATACATACATACAATGTTACAATAAACAATCATTTATTTTAGTACTCCTTATTTAAGAAAAGAAAAGCTAGGAAGAAAACTTCTGATTTTTCTGGTATAAGTATGAGTTGTATGATGAAAAAACAAAATTTGTTGTATCACTTTGTTTGCTTCTTCAGACCCAATGGGGAACATACAAAAATATTACAAAATTTGTTCCATACTCTCACCAAAATGTACAGTAGCCAAGGCTGTTAAGGTGACATGCAAGCATTGTGGCAGAGTTTTCAGTCCTAGTTTGAGTCTTCATTTCCAATCTTTTCTGTTTTATTAATTGCATGACTGAAATTTTAATTTCTGAGTTTCAGTGTTCTTCTCTCATTCAAGTTTTAGTTGTGATATTGACAAGGAAAGGTAGCATATCCTGGGTTAAGAATGGGCACTTCTTCTTGTTAAGTTGGATAGTCTGCTGGTAATAGTGTTTGTTATCAATCCTGACCCTAGTCTGAATGTAAATGTTTTCTTGAAGGACCAGTTGCAGTCAAGTTTCTTGGTTACAGCAGTTGACTGTAATCAGTTAGAACCACGGCCGTGTATTATGCTGTTCCTTTATCTCTCTGTCACTTCCTCCTTAACATACATTAACAAACATTACAACAGTTGACTGTAATAAATCAGAACCACACCAGTATATTCTGTTGTTACCTTATCTCCCTGTCACCTCCTTCTTAACATACCTTACATAGATAACAGTATGTATAAAATGTAATAGGAGGAATGAAATACAAAAGGTGGTTTATGTTACAGCCTGACCACATGAAGGTTCAGCTCAGAATTATCATGTGTAGTTTCCACATAAAACCTGGACTAGCTAGAAGTATTTAGGTTGCTGACAGATGCCATGTACTGTACTGAACAAATGACATTTATTGAAATATAGCCCAATTCAGTGATATGCATATATATTAGCATAACAGTGTTGAAGAAGGTCATTATGAAAACATTTAATTCTTTGCAGGTTTCCAGACCCAGAAGCAATAGAAGTGTTACCATCCCCTGAGCCTGGCCCTTCTCATTCTGCATTGCCCAACATTGCCATGGCCATAGACCCCACTTATCCTCGCAGAGCTACCATTACCCATACCAGCACGTACAACACCTCAGTAGTAGAAACACCCCCTAGCAACATCTCCAGCCCTGCTGTCTCGCTGCCCCCTCCAGGTAAGTGTCAGGATGAAATGCATGCATATGTGTGTGTGTGTGTGTGTGTGAGCTCCTAATGTTGCTACATGTTCTGATTCTTCTCATTTATCCATTTTACATGCAATATGTCAGGTTATTTTAGTTGAATGATGGGGCTATGCTACAAGCCGGAAGGTCACGGGTTCAAGTCCTGATGAGGTCATTGGATTTTTTTCAGTCGGCCTAATCCTTCCAGCCGCATTAGGCCCTGAGGTTTACTCAGCCTCTAACAGAAATGAGTACCATGAATTAATTAAATAATTTTCCTGGGGAGTAAAGCACGGCCAGCGCATAAGGCTGACAACCTTACCACCATCTTTGAGCCGGTCGTCTAGATAGTGTGGGACCCTCAATGTCTCACAACCCTGTAGGCCTTCACGGTGATAGCAGCAGTCTTATTATTTACATATAACAAATGTGGTTAAGTAAGATCATAAATTTATTACACAAGGTTAAAACCAATATTGTGTTAAAATTCTTTCATGTAGGCCATAGTACAGTTTGATGGTTATGGTGTGTCATGCCATATTATATGTTGGCATCTGCAGTTTTGTTGTGGTTGTTGGTAAGTGAAGTACTGAAGCATTGAAACAACTTCCAGACAGCAACAGAAATACATCAAGCAAAAGCCTGTCCTTTTCCTCTGTGCTAACTGTTGACAGAAATGCTGTACTAATTGACCACCAAGCTGATATCTTTGGCTGTTTAACTTTTTAACAGAAGTAACTGGGGAAAATTTAATTGGTTCATGGCATGGAAAGGGTTGAAGTTTTATTAGCTTTGTATTGTGCAAGGAAAGCAGCAGTATCCCAGAGAAAGACTGAACATTTCTTCTGTTCTTGTAGATCCTGATATTGGATGCACATTATGTTTCAGAATTTGATGATGATGATAGCCCTGTGCCACCATATATGCCAATACAAGGTCAGCGGAGGTCAGCATCTCTTGAGAAGAAAAGCAAGAAAGGGCGCAGTAAAGATAGCTGCAAACAGCAGTGACCAGCTCAGAAACAGAAGGGTCATGTATCAAAATTAGTGGTGCAAAGATAGTACGAGGGTTGGAACTTTAATAGTGGCAACTATTTATTTACAAGTGATACAAAATAGATGCATATTTTGAAGTTTTACTGTCCTTCAGTGTAGTCACTAGCATGGTATACAACCCATTGCCAACAATGTGGAATGGAGCGGTCTGCTGCCTGAAGAATATCTGGAACAGTTCTGAAGCGAATGCCACGAAGTGGTTCCTTCATCTTAAGAATCAAGTCGAAGTCACAAGGGCTTAAGTACAGAGAGTATGGTGGTTGGTACAGCACTTCCCAGCCCCATCGATCGAACAAATCAGCCACAGCTTGCACTGCATGCGGCCAAGCATTTTCCTGCAAAATGGTGGGTGGATTCTGCAAAAAGTGTCACTGCTTCTTTCTCAAAGCTGGTCGTAGGTTGTGTTCCAGAAATGAACAGTAATACTGCGCATTGAAGGTCTGCTGTCGGGGAACAGTATGCGTTAGGATAACACCATCACAGTTGTACAAGAGAATCACCATAACTTTCACATTGCTGGGGTTCTGACGAGCTTTTCATTTTCATGGTGACCCATAGTGACACCATTCGTTCGATTGGTGTTTCATTTGTGGCTCGTATGATTTGGCCCATGTCCCACCCAGCGTAATGGTACGCCGTAAGAAAGCCTCTTCTTTGTGCTCATAGCGCTCCAAGTGGTTACAAGCAGTGTCGTATCATAGCCATTTCTGCATTTCCGTAAAATCATTCGGTACCCATTGTGATGCAGTTTTTCTCATGCCCAGGCATTCCTTCAGAATGTGAAACACAGTCGTATGCACTAATCCTGTCTCTCAGGCCAGCTCACAAATTGTATGGTGTCAATCACTTTCCAGTAATGCGGAAAGAGCATACACTTCTTCACTGACACTAGAATGACCTGGCCGATGCATGTCCGCCACATTTTGGCGTCCCTTGTTGAAGGCTTGCCACTGTTCTGTAAGACAATGCAGATTCCCCGCAAGCCTCTTGAAGACCTTGATGACACTGTCATGCTGTGCGTCCCCTGGCACATTCAATCTTTATCCAACTCCGCTGTTCCTGTTTCGAAAACGTGACAACACTACATTAGACCGCCAGCTAGCACGAGGCTCTGTTCTTCTTGTCACTGCGCATGCGCGTGATGTGGGAAGGGAGAATCCATTTGCTCTGACGTAAGGTAGGTATGTAACTAACGTGTGGTATAAGCGACATTATTTGGTTCCGTTGCATGGCGTCTCTACAGCAGTGTTGCCACTATTAAAGTTCCAACCCTCGTATTTTAAAATGAGGTTGAGAGATGGGCTGAACTCAAATGTCAGGGCTGTCATTGAATTTTTCAATTTTTCATATGGCCCTTTTGATAGTACTGTCTCATTATCCAGAGTGAACATGGTGTGTGAATAAGTGTTCAGCTTTTTCCATAACCTCTCCTTGAAGAAAGAACTGAAGGTTCTTATAAATTGGCTGGCAGTTTTAATTCATTCATGGGATCTACAAACCAAAGACTGATAGCAGATTGATTGTCTTGTAGGTAATTTGGAGGAGAATGTTTTTGGAAATCATTTTTTCCCTTGGATTTGTCAGGAAACTTATTCATAATAAATGATATTAGCCCAAAGTGACATTCAATGATTTGTTAAAGAAAATTTTCATTCTTCCGGGATGAAGTTGCAAACATTTGGGATCAGACATAATAAAAAGGAAACTTTCAATAGCAGATAATTATTTTTATGTCAGATTTGAGGTTCTAATGGCAGTGAATAAGAAGATCATGGTCATCTGGGATGTGTTGTGCATGGTAAATAATGCACCAGTGATTCAGAGAATCTTGTCATCTCCCATCTTTGGCGTAGACAGAGATGGATGCAGTAGATTCTTCTGAAATATTAATGCCTATATAAGAAACTACATGATGTCACATCTCAGAAAACTGCACTTCTCAATTTTTATATCAGTTCTGTGTTTGTGTATTGCATGAATATTAGATATTTTTCAAATTCTGGAGCAGTTTATAGTCAGTCTTTATGTAGTGCATAAGATTTTACAGATTGATTGCCTTTGAAACTAGTTACTGTGTTCCTCCAGTAATGTGTCCCATGCTAAATGTACACTACCTGAGCCTAGATTTTGTTATCCAAATAGTGGACTTATTCTTATAATGCAATATATCGTCATATACTGATCTTGAAGGAGTGACACAGCACACATTTAGGAACTGACCTGTGTTGTGCGTCCAAAATAATGCAGGATGATGGAATACGTAAGGTGTGTGCTGTCAAGAGTAACTGCCCATAAAAGCTTTAAAGTATAGTATGTTTTTTTTTTTCAAATGCTTTTACTGAAGTCTGCTCTGATAAAATGTTTGTAATGTGTGCAGTAGACTTTTTTTCCTTCATTTTCTTTTTCAGCCAGCATGATATTAATACAGATTTTGATTGTTATGACCTTTGAGCAGCAAGTAAATTTCTATCCGAAATCCGATTAAATGTGACAAGGAAAGACCCGAGCTAAGAATTTTGTTCATTACACAATTCAGAAATGTAGATTCACATGGTTTATAACCCATTTTGTGGCTGCTCAATAATGCTCTTTTCCACAAAGAAATAACAATTTTATTTCTTTGACTCTTGAAACTTTATTTATTTATTTTCTTTTTTGAGATTTAACAATCTATTTGTTTTGTATCTTACTAGATTTTATGTACATAGACATATCACATATTTTGACATCTTGGTACTGGTCATGTAGAAATTATGAAGATCTGTCCTGTTGTATACTCTGATCAAAGTGAAGAATTTTGTCTCTTGGTCAAGAAATGAACTCATGTTCTGTGTTAGTGAGTTATATGCTCCCCTCAGTAAGGTGCTTATGGAGGTGGGAACCACATGTTTTGTACCCTAACAAGGACATATTATCCATATTGTTTTCTAGATTATATTACAGAATGGTCTTGCAGGTGAATACCAACATTTTAGAAGAATATTCTCTCTCAATCTTTAGGGTTGTAGATATCCACCTCCAAGACTACTTGTCCCAATCCAGAAAACTACAATATGGAGACACACCAGTGTGTAAATCAAAAACCTTAATTGAGGTGTTAAAAAAGTCTTTAACTCAGAAGTGACCATGTTACTGTTTTGAGGTGGGTGACTACCAGAAGATAACTTGGGAGTGTTAGTTGTGGAAAAAGCTGATACTTTATTAAGACATGAACATGCATTATAGTATGATTTCTGCAGAATGACATAGGATAGCTGAAGGAAAACTATCGAGATTCTTGTCATCACTGTGAATTATGACTATTGAATGTGAGATTAATGAAGTATATATCCTGCCAATTACTTTATATAGTCACTCAAATAATTTTTTTTTATGAGAAGTTCCTTGAAGTATCAATGTAAGGGCTTTGAAATCAAAGCACATTGTTTACCTTGGAGTAAAAAACAGTGATATGAGATTGATTGACAATGATTCCTTCTGGAGACCAGTATTACTGTGATGGAAGGTTTAATTTTAATGAACCATACAGCTATGTCTTGAATTACATATAAATCATTTTTCTGGTATTTCAGATGGATGGTTGTTGTTCAGAGTAATTTGATATTTTTGGAAAGTTTGAACTGAGAGCAGAAGTATATATTTTTAAGCTTTTGAAGTTCTTTTCATAGTACTTGATTGTAGCACTGCCAGAATAGTTATGTGTGTGCGAGGTTAATTTTCTCCCTTGTCAGCATGCTGTGGCCGATTAGTAGGTTAACACTGAGGAGGTGATTGCAAGTTGGCAATTCTTTGTGTTTATCAGTATGTTTCTTTACCCATGCTGTTGGAAATGTAAATGGCACTGTTGTGTTTCTCTGCAGGAGTGACTTATTGATGTTAAATGAATTGTCCACAAGGGAATAATGTGGAACTTCCCTCTAAAATTGATTTTTATTTTAAAAATGGAGGGGGGGAAATAGAATCACACCAGAAAAATAACGTAGGTCTACATTAGTAGTCTGTTTGCACAATACATGGTACACTTTCAAATAATAACTAGCACAATCTGTTAAGGTGACAAAGAACTGTGTATTACTTAGAAGCTGGTCTGTTATTTGGACTTAAAAACAGCATCCAGTGCATCTGTTTCTTTGATGGCAGAAAGCTACTTTTGAGTCCGGTTAAAAAATCACTGATCTTGTTACGAATTGGTTGCTAGGGGGGTGGGGGATCCTAAGGGCCGGGTAGGCCATTACTGCCCGTCTCAGTTTACACATAATACAATTGCGTTTATTGCTGGTATAATATAAATAAAATACAGTGGACCTAGTGGAAGGTCCTCACTACCCCAGTCCACTCCGGAGGGGCCCAAACTCTTCCGTTCCGCCGTATCTCTTTTTTTTGATTTGGTGGAAGTTACTTCGGCAAGGTAGGGGCCTCCCCCTACCTGAGTGGGGTCAAACAGCTCGGTAAGCCCGTATTCCGTTACTTACCGCCCTTTGGCCCAAGTTCGAAACCCCCCCCCCTTTATTTCCTCCAAGGTAGGGCCCTTCGGGGCGCCCACAACTTCCGGCTGGCTGCTCCTGCGGTTCCTTGTACTGCGGTGTCGTCGCTCCCCTAGGAGCCTCCACTACCTCTCTCTCCAATGCCTCGTTAACCACTGCCTCCTCTGGCTACCGCTACACGTTCCCTCCTGCTAGCCCCCCGCCACCGCTGGCAGGTTGGGGGTGGGCCGCGGATACAGGGCTGCCTAGCGTCTTCCAAGGCAGTGTTGCCAGATCCCCGAGGCTTTCCCAACGTAGTTTCGGCTGGAGCGTAGGGCTCGTAACACTCTCTGTTTTGTAGGACTGCGCCGGTAAGCCAAAGCAGAGTTCTGTAAATGCTAAATTTAAAGGTGAAAAAATGGCCCTCTGGTCAGTTTGATATTCATGACCATGTACGTCACTGACTTTTTGCAGTAATTTCTGTATAATTTATGGGGAAAAGTTCTTACCAGACTGTAACCCTAAAAATATTGTGACGCATTACCTTATGTCCATCGCCGTGCAACAGCTACAATGGAAATTGTGTTCCCAAGGCAACGGATTGCCGAACACGTGAGTTTCGAATAGGCACTTTCATGGTAACACAAAGAACAGGTAGCCGTTGTGTAGACAATGCAGAAGCAACGAATGTGTCTCCATAGAAATGAACTACAGAGAGTTTGTTGTGCCCGTTACGTAACAGCAGACAGTAGCAACGAAACAGTGAGGAATGTTGTCTGGTATCCAGTCTGCAGAACACCTACATAAGCTGAGCTTACGACACATGTTGAAGATTGAGTATTAGAATATCGAGTATTGAAGTATTAGACCAGAAGTCAAGTGACATTGCAAGTGATAATTGTAAGAGTGAAGCACAATAAAGATTCGCTAAATCAGAGACCCACGTAAAGCTATTTGTCGCGTGACATACCCAACACGTGACAATATATTTGGAAGGGATGGGGATGCCAGAAATTTTGTGCCATGGTAAGGCCATTTTTAGCTGTGTGAGGAAAGAACATCAGTACTTGAACAGTTGCAGATAACACCAGTTGGTATCAAGGTTGTCTCAAATTCTGAGCCTCATATAGTAGATCCTCAATTTTCCCTTTCAGATGTTATTAGAGAGAGTTGTGAATTTCTGTACTCAGATAGTCATGCTGGTAAGGGAGACAGTATAGGTATCAAGTAAATATTAAAGTATGATATTAAGTGTAAGATAATCTGCTATCAGATCCACAGTAAAATAGGGGAGAGGCAGGAAAGCTAAAGAAAATGTATGGTGCAGGGGAGAAAGTGATCTGACTCCAAAATTTTCAGAAGATGTGTGAGAATTCTTCAGACTTGCAGGCAACTTATAATTACATGCAGGTAACAAGTATTGCGAGTTGAGGATGACACCATTTTGTTCTGTTTGAGCTTTTTGAGCCTAGTTTCCTGTGGTATAGCTAGGGCTGGCTTGGACTCAAGTGTTATTTGAATGGACCGAATTGTTTAGGCAGTATTACAGAGGCATTTGCAATACACATGGGTCATTCCTTTCACTTGACACTAAAGTTGTTACCTGCAGTAACATTTACATTGGAAAATAAAATATAATCACTACACTCCTTCCTTCTGTATTTCCTCCCCCATTCATTTTCTCACTCAGAGCTTGTCATGGTATTTCATAATGTTTTGCTGATCTGTCTTTGTCATACCCAAGTCTCGTCTTGTATTTCTTTCATTTGGTGATGATGTATGTAAGTTATTCCTGTATTGTAGTGTTTGGGGAGTCATGCCTTTATATATTGAGAGGTTTCCCATGGATCTGATATATCAGTCACATAGTTTGTAAAATATGATAGAATATATCAATAAAGGACTTGAATATGAGGAATGTGTAAAATCCTTACATCTTGGTCATGATGGAAATTTCTTCCCTGTGGTGAATAGTTCCAGGTGTTTTTCTTGAATAGATGTTTTAGGATGGTCTTGTATATGATATGTAATACATGCTACCATATTTCCAAATATGAAACATCGTTGATTCTTCCTTGAATTCTGTTACTACCTCGTTTCTTATTCTTTGTTACGTCACTTTTACTTTTCAGCAGTATAAATGAATGCATGTCATAGTTCACTCGAGTATGATAGCATTAGTGTGAAATAGCTTTCGTTCAGAATCATTTTGCTTATCTAATGCTTTTTATATTCTTGATAATAGTTTATGTTAACTTGTCTTGTGAAGTCCTATATATTTATTTCGTCTATAGATCGTTGTAGGCTTGCGAAACTAGCATAATTGAACCACAGAAAATGGCTATGCTGTTTGTGGAGTACCATTAGATGATTAAAAAAATGGGATTGGTGTGTAGTTATTGCACAGAGGATGACTGGGCCTGTCCCCTCCCCCACACACATGGAAGAAATTAAAAACATTGTGTGATTGTTAACTCTGACAATTTGGGGAAGATAATGGAAGATCATACACCGAAAACAATACCGTGAATGCATTAAATGAAGTTTTTAGGGAATAAGCCAAAAGTTGGGGTTTGTGGCTTCTGTGTTATATTTAGAAACTCGTTTGCACAATAGTGGGCATTCTCATTGAGATTTGGGGAAGTTTTACAACAGAAAAGCGGGCCGTGAGTAATGAACTTATTACGAGAAGAGGCTCGTAGCACCTGCAGGAACCAGTTTAAAGATAAACTGTGCACTCTGTATTATACGGGGCAGGAAGGTCGTGATGGTCGTGACCATAACGGAAATCGTGGTGGCATTACGGTTCTCAGCGAGGTTATGTTTGTAGTTTACTTTTGGTAAATTCCTGTTGAAATTTTTTTCGAAGCCTCTTATATTGCTTGTATTGGGAAGTCTGTGTATAGAGCTTAACTCTAAGAATTTTTTTAAATGAGGTGAAATTTCGTTCGTCACAAACCCTTGACATTGTGGCACTACAAACCTCAGTGAGGTTATGTTCATAATTTACGTTCGATAAACACGTTGACATTTCTTAAGTTTACAGTCTCTGATATTGTAATTATTTAGAAGTCTGCGTAAATAATTTTCCAATTTTTTAAAATTAAGTGAAATTTTTTCATTTTAAATCATTTATTTAAGTTCTGTCCAACTTTCATATTTGATCGCTTTACGATAGATGCCAGTACCTACAACATTTCATCGGCCATTGTGGGAAGCAAGCTGTTCATGTGTAGTTTTTCACAAATTGTTACATATGTAATTTGGAGGTTGTTTTCAACTGGTGACAATTATTTGCAATGGACGATTTTGATTTTTATCTTAAAAGGTGTCGCTTGTGTGCATGCGAACATCGACTGGGCATTAATATATTCGGCTCTGAGGGTACTATGCTAGATTTGATGTCCAAAATAAAGATGTACCTCTCAATAAATGTAAGCTGATAATGTTCATATGACTGCTGTCTCAGCACGCACATAGTTAAAAAGTTAGGAAATTTAAAATTATAGGAATAGTTTAATACAGAACTACTGCTAGATTTTTTTGTCTTAATAAGGTTATTTACTGTATGATTTTGAGAAATCATCTAGGTATACGAAATATTCGAGTGCTGTAATGTAACGTCAGGCTCAAAATGCCTGTTGAAAATTATTAATATATCACTTGGTATTAACTGACTTCCTTTTCAGGTATGTTCAGAAGATGCGTTACCAAATCATGTATGTTATCAGTGTTTATATCGTGTTGAAACATTCCACAGTTTCAAATTATCGTGCATAGAATCAGAACATACATTAAGAAATTGGCACTTCTTTTATGGAGGAATAGCTGATGAAGTAAGTACCAACAAGGGTTTGATCATAAAACAATTTACTGTTTTCTTGAAGGCATGGGAAAATTTTGTTGTAAATTGTACTGCTTTGTTTGTGACTATTTCCACATCCTATGAAATTGTTTTCTCTATGGATTTATGGAAAATGAATGAATGAATGTTTACTTATCTTTAAGTTAACCTTTAGTACTGTACTTTACATACCATTGAATATAAATGCTTTTAAATTTTAAATAGAAATGTAATGCACATTCGTGCGCTTTTCTGTTAATAATAATAGAAATGTAGTAAAGAATAAATTTTTATATCCAGTTCCCCATGGTCATTGATATTTATGAGAGGTTTATAGTGTAGCCTTTATAGCCATATGTATGCCAAACAGATTTATAGAGAGAGAGAGTTTGTGAGAGTGAATATGTTAGACAAGGTTACAGTTGTACACATCCTTTGACAATTCTTTATTCTAAATGATGGTAATGATGATTTATGTAAGGAACGGTTCATTGTTACAATATATTTAGCATGAAATTAATATCGTATTTCTATTCAGCATGATACATCAGACACAGAGGATGAATTGGAGTCTGCAAATGAAACTGAGAAGAAGATTGTTACAAGTACATCACCAGAACTGAAATCCTCTTCAAGTGAGAGCACTCAACATTCCCCTAGTGTGTCAGTGGACTCAGTAGCACAGCCCACAACAAGTTCTTTCTCCACTTTGAAACTTGCCAAAATGGCAGAGACAGCAATGAAGAGCAAAGAGACTAAGGGCTTGCAGTTACAAAATGAGGTGGGTGGTAAAACTGCAGTAGACTCGCCTTTCATAGCCAAGGTACCAAGCCAGAAAAAACAGCCTACAGATCCAAATGGGAAGGTTGACATAGTGGCAGTAAAGAGTGGCAGGAATATCATGAAAATATCAAATACTGATCAGAACATGGACACCAAAGATCAGCCATCCAGCAATGATAACAATGAAGTCTCACGCATTCTGCTCAACATGTCAGGTGTTGGTACTATCTCAGTCACAAAATATGAGGGCATAGGACTGAAGAAAATGGATATGAAGGACAATAGCAAGATAGATGGAGGGACCCAGGAAAACCAACATTTTGTTATGCATAAACAGCAGACACAGGAATATGTTATTGTGTCTGATGATGATGATGATGATGATGATGAAAGTGATGGTTTCTCAGGGTTTGATTTTGAAGAAACACCCACTGTGGCAGAAACAGGAGAGTGTACAAAGGAGAAGCCAGGGGCTGGATTACAGGAGACAGTTGTGGTTGGAGAACTGGTGCCCAATGAATGCATTCGGTTTGAACATTTGGAATTTGACAAGAATGGCACCATTCATAATGCTGAAAATGAGTCCCAGAAAACAGAAAAATTGGAGTTTCAGGATGCAATAAAGTAAGTGGAAATGATCCAAAGAGACAGAAAGATAGATTTTGCCTAAACTTTCCCCCTTCTCACCTGGCTTATGCATAGAAATTTGTTCTGTGTTGCATGTAATTTGTATGCTTGGAACACGTCAGCTTCTAGTCTTTGCTGATGATGTAAATCTATTGGGAGATAATTTAAGTACCATAAAGAAAAGCAGAGAAGCTTGATGGTACATTGGAGGTTGATCTGGAAGTAAATGGAAGGAAAACGAATTATATGCTATGTCTTGTTGCCAGAATGCAGGTCAAAATTATGATATACAGACGGCCAGTAAATTATTTGAAAATGTGGCATGGTTCAGATAATTGGGAAAGACAGTAATAAACCAAAATTTGATTAATGGGAAAATGAAATCAGGTTAAATTTGGGTAATACTTGGTACCTTTCAGCTCGTAACCCTTTGTCATGTTGTCAATCTAAATGCTTAAAAATTGAAATATATGAAACTGTAATTTTTCCTGTAATTTTGTATGGTCATGAAATTTGGTCTCTGACATTAATGGAAGAACATAGAGGGTATTTGAGAACAGGGTGCCGAGGAGAATATTTGGATCAAAGAAGGATGAAATGCTAGTAGGTTGAAGAAAACTGCATGAGGAGGAGGTTCGTAACTTAATGATCTTCACCAAATATAATGTGAATGTTCAAGTCAAGGAGGATAAGGTGGGCAGGGCATGTAGCATATATAGGAAAGAAGAGGAATGCATAGAGGATTTTGGTGGGAAAGCCATAAGGAAAGATACCACTAGGAAGACCTTGACATAGGTGGGAGGATAATATTAAAATGGATATTTAAGAAATAGGATGGTGTGGTATGGGCTGGATTCATCTGGCTCAGAATAGGGACCAGTGACACACTCTTTTGAGTTCAGTAGAGAATGTTCTGATTACACGAAAGGTTGGGTATTTCTTAAGTAGCTTCACCAATTACTCTCCTCAGAGACCTGTGTTCAAGTCTACCATAGGCCATGGCTGGGGATAAGTGGTAGACAGAGTGAGACTGGTACTAGTTTGTCTCTGAGAATTTCAGTTTTCCCTTCTTGGTTACCATTCCACCATTGCTCTCTACATATTTGTTATCAAGATCTGGTATGATAGACCCATTTGAGGCAACAGTACAAAGAGACTTCACTGATATATTGGATTTCTGGACTTTATCCATCGTCCTGGTTTTTAAGATAACAAATAAAAACACGACGTTTCGGAAACTGGATCTGTTTCCGTCCTCAGGTGAAGGAAAAGGGAAACACCTATTCTGTTGGGTCCGTTAGAAAGAGCTAGCCTCAATCACTGGACTGGATAAAGTCCAGAAATCCAATATATCAGTGTGTTATACACCATTGTCAGAATCCTATAGTAACTACAAAGAGACTTGTTTGACAACACTCTGCAACTGTTGTGTTAAGTTAAAAGAAAAGAATGGGAGGAAGGTCGATACACAGTGGGAATCTTGATGTCTGGTGTTTTAACATTTATGGTGTCTATACTCGACTGTATTGTCCAGGTACACGGCAGTGAATGTAGACACTCGCTTTGCCTGCATCAGGTGCAACAAAACGTTTGCTCAGAAGAGTTATATCAAGGAACATATGAAGATACATACAGGTACATTTAATCCACGTGAAAGTAAATGACTGCTACTACATCCTTCTTGTGTTCACCAATTGTTACAATCCAGAAACTGTCATCATATATTGTCTCAGTGTTACATATCAAGCAGCATGGTGATGCAGCAGAAATTAAGTTTTGGAAACATGTTATAAGTTTGATTTGTTTCATTGTGGTCCGTATAACCACACAGTGTGCCTCAAACATCAACAAGACGACACCAAAGAAATCTTTTCTCCAAACAGAAACACAAGGTGGTAGATGCTTGGCTCCCTTCAAAGAAAAGAATTAAAAAGGACACGAATCAATTTGGTTTAAACATTTTAACAAAAGAAATCTTTTTTAGACATACTAACTGTAATAGATATTTTAACGAGTTGGTACAAACCGCTGTAGTTGTTAAAAACGTTAGTTTTGTACTCATTCTATTATGATAACGTTGTATGTATATATTAATATTCACAAAATATATTGTAGTAGTGGTTTCTAATTGTATTGATATCCTTAAGGTGGTCTATAGGTCTGAAACATGTAAAGGATAAAAGATTAAAAAGGAAAAAACTTCATCAGTCACACTGAACAGAATTAATTAACCTTTGTAATGTAACAAGTTGTTAGGAGTTAATGAAATGGAAGTCAGATGACTATAGAGAAAAATGATTAACTTGCTTCAATAGAGTCTACATTGTTAGATTCCAAGAACCCGCCTAATCTGTGGAGGTCAAAGAAGAATTTTTATAAGCAACAGACATATAATCTCCCACCACAGAAAGTTTCACATGCTTGGCTGTAAAACTTTGAATTCTTGACCCAGGCATTTTTTAAAAGCAAGTCAGACATTTACTGGGACTATTAATAACCTGTATGTTTTAAAATAGTTTTCCTTAACCATTTTTTTACAGGTGAGAAGCCATATTCATGCAAAGTTTGCGGTCGCAGTTTCCGCAATAACTACATGCTGAAGGTTCACATGCGACTTCATACAGGAGAAAAGAACTTCAAGTGTGAGGAGTGTGGTGCCCTCTTCACAGAGCGTGGTGCCCTTGTTTGTCATGCTCGAACACACACTGGTGTCAAGCCATTTGTTTGCATTTTCTGTGATCGAAAGTTCGCACAGAATCCAGCTCTTAAGAGACATCTTCGTATCCACACCAAGGTACCACAACAAACTTGCTTTTACTAGTACTGTGTTCTCTGTGACTGTCAGTAGGTTCTGTATTTATGGAGCTGCTAGGTCCTATCCTGTCTAACTTTAATTCAGCCTACATCTTCTCATCCCCGTTCTTTAATATCTAGTTCTAAATTATTCTCCCATTGGTCTCCCAAGTGTGTCTGTTCAGATTTCATCATGAAACAAAATAATTTAAGAGTTCTTTGAAAATATATTTTTGAGGTATTGTCACAGCCCATTCTTTAAATCTGTCCTCCCATCCCAGGTCTTCTGTGAAGTTGTATATTTCTGTTATATTTGACATTTATAACCCTCTCATTACTTCTTGATAATGTAACAGATTTGCTCAAAGCATTGCTAGGCTATGGCCCAATAAACACCCCACGATATGCACATGCGACAATAGGATGAATGTTATAGCTCATTGCTAGGCAGCAGTCAGCATGCCAACGAACTGGCTGGGTGACAGTCACATGATTTCTATCTCGCAGTTCAGTGGCATTCTGACTGCTGCCTAACAACAAGCTTTAACATTCGTCCTATTGTTGCTTGTGCGTATCGCAGGTTGTTTACCGAGCCGTTGTCTGGCAGTGCTTTGATCAAATCTGTTACATCATCATTTAAGAAAAAATATGTTTTTTGCTGCCTGTCTAATGAATTACTTTTCATCTTATGTGAGCAACATGCAGTAAAGTCCTGGCGTTGTATATTTTACTGTGTGAACACCTTTTTTATGCAATACTTGTGAAATTCCTGTTGAATATTATATGGAAAATTTTGACAGTTCCCATATTTATTTATAGTTTCCAAAGATAACCCTTCCATTCTTCTGCTTGTACGCATTTCAGCCATTGTGGACACATTGAACATCACAGTTTATTTCTGCCATATTCAGGTCCTGTTATGACCAGCTGAGATAATTCATGCATTTGTTCCATGGAGATGACATAATGAAAAACTGACCACTACTGCCCTATGTAAACTAATCATATAGATAATCATCCTTACTTCCCATACATTTTTTTCAGTACCATTTAACAAGGTTTGTAGACCCAGCTGTGTTTACAAGAAATGATGGACATGTGGGTGGATATGCTCTTCATGTTCAAACATCTGGTCTCCCATTTACACCTTCAGTGGCCCAAAGAGATTGAAACTGCTTGGAGCTGACTCCAGATGACAGGAAGGTGTCAATGCCAAGCAAATTTCCTCAAGAACTTTGTTACTATGGGATATCAATCTTGGATCAGTAATGGCAGTGGATAGTGTACCGTCAGCATCAGCAGGAACCGACTTCTGACCTTTCTGGAAACATGAAAGCTGTTCAAATATCCTGGATGGTAATGAGTGTTCTCCCTGATCACTGCAGTAATTTTGATGAATTTCAAAGCTAGAAATTCCTCCTATAACAAGAAATTCCGTGACACATCATTGTGCTGTGGAAATCTACCTGTATCATTTTCATCTCAAACACCTATAGAAATAATGGAATACTAAAATTTATACTTCAACCCCCAGGTGTCAGATGCATGTAGCATGTGATGTTCAAGTTCTTGTCGTTTCGAACATAACAGTACATGAGACATCCAGCCCTGAAATTGATTGTACATTCCTCATATGAACTCTTTCCTGTCTTCTGTTGGAAAGATTCCAACATAGTAATTATCCCATACAGATCCATTCTCGGAAGCCCTATTCTATCAAGTTATGAATTTACTGCCACATTATGATAAAATGAGGAGTGTCGTATCTTTGCTTTTTACATTTGTTAACATCTCTTCCAATAGATTGCATGTAGGAACAACAGATCACAGGAGTTTTATATTTCCCAATGCCAATTTTCTGTTCCTTCTCATATACATAATATACATATACGAGAAAGTATTGTGGTGGGGCCGCGCCATAGGTCAAGCGGTTAGTTGCTGGCTTCCCACTGCGGCAGCCCAGGTTCAATCCCAGGTCTGGTCACGTGGGATTTGTGATGGACAAAGCGGCGGTGGGGTGGTTTTCCTCCGAGTACTTCGATTTCTCCTGCCAATCTTCATTCCACCAAATTCTCCATCATCATAATCACCCGGGGCAGGCTACAATAGGCCAATTAGTGGCCGCCATGCCGAGTGGACCCAGTTGAACTCCACCCCCCACTTAGCGAATTTAAAAAATAAAGTATTGTGGTGTAAAAAAGAAATCTTATCTCAGGATTTTGACAGATATACACAGTTTTGGCCTCTGTGAATAGGAATAAATTATTTGTATAGTGCTGTCTGTCTGTATGTATGTCTCTATGTTTGTTAGCACCTGAGTGAATGGATGGATTTTATTCAGATTAAGTATTCAAGAGTTCATTCATCCTAGGTCGGTGCTCAGTGAATCTGAACATGCCACATCCGTAACTATGGGTAAGGATAATTTAAAATAATTGTTAGAAGGTACATGGCTGCAGATTGGATTAATGTGGCTCAGGATAAGGACCAATCAAGGGCTCTCATGAATATGGTATTGAACCATCAGGCTCCAAATAAGAGAGAGAGGACTTCTGGACTGGCTCAGCAATTATTAGCTTTTGAAGATGATCTGTTCCTAAGGGTTAGTTAATATGGGTGCATAAAGTGTGCTTTAAGTTAAAATTCATTCTGTCGCAGATATAAGTTTTGGCATGTTGGCAGTATTACAGACACTGACTGGAGGGCTGGGGCAAGGCATTTGGTGATAAGATGGTATGTCCTCGAAAGAGAGTGGAAAGATTAACTGAATCCTGTGTGCAGGAAAAACCTTTCATGTGTGACCACTGTAAGGCGTGCTTTGCGGATCGTGGTACCTGGAGGAATCACGTGCGCATTCATACAGGCGAGAGGCCATATAAGTGCACACTCTGTGAAAAGAGCTTTGTACAGCGCACCAATCTGCAAGCACACGTCAAGACACACACTGATGAACGCCCATTCCCTTGTCAGGTACAGTTCATGTGTGATAGTGTTAGTGAGTGAATATTACCTCTCTGTCTCTGTTTCTCTTATCATTGGACACTCTTCCATCTGCACCACTTGTATACATTTAATGACTGTTGCCTTTTGGGAGATGATGTCTTGTATTCTGTTAGATATTTACCAGCATTTCAGAGGAACCTGCTGCCTGTGTCAGGAGGGTAGAAGCGTAAGCTATGCAGGAGGAAATGCTGAGCGATACAGGGAAAGAAGGACAGGGACCTAAGTAAGAGTGAACCAATGGGAACTGTGTGCACTAAAGGGGAACCTATGACTGTGAATGTAGCTAGGAAGAGGCTGGAAACAGATAGAGGAGAGTAATGTGAACTGACAAGAAATCCATGGCACTGAAAAAGACTGGTCTCTGTCTCTTCCTGTTTACAAGGCCAGCTCTTTCCTTTGCCACAGGATTCCATTTTACACCACTCCCATCAGTTTTTTAGCCACAGACCTGGTCCTCCGTGCCCTCTATTGCTGACCATTTTCCCAGGTTGGCTTATTCTTCTTCCTGTATGGCAGGTTCTTCTGAAATATGGTTACCATCATGACCATAATTTAGAATAAAGATGTGTATGTGTGTCTAGCATAGAAAGAATAAAGGTATGCTTCCACCTAATTTGTTTTCCTGTTATCGTTTGTCTGCCTAGGTGTGTGGCTCTTCCTTCCGAACAAAGGCTCATCTTGTGAAGCATCTGTCAACCATCCACAGAGATGTAATGAAATGTGTTGTTACATTTATGAAGGAACCAAAACAAGAGCCTTCACTGTGTTAACAAGTGTGCAACCTGAAGCTTTGTCATGTGTAGAGAAGTGCAGATCATCAGTGTACAGGGGTGTGCTGAAATAGTTTTAATTGCCAGTATGCACATTTACTATAGACTGCCTCTGTGGTCTAGTGGTTAGAGTTCCTGGTGGCAGGTCCAGAGGTCCTGGTTCGATTCCCGGTGCTACCATATTTTCTGAGAAGTAATGGGTCTAGAACGGGGTCCACTCAGCCTCATGAGGAAAATTGAGTAGCTGTTTCAAGGAAATAACTGCTCCGGTCTAGAAACCCGAAATTAATGGCCATGGGGATTCACTGCGCTGACCACGTGACACCCTCTGTCCACTAAAGTTGGCACTAAGAACCCCCACAAGCGGCCATCACTCGGTCGGTATAGTTTGCTTGCAGACAAATCACGGAGTATGCACATTTAATCATCAGCTATCTTTTTTCCCATAGCTTCCGTTCAAAAATGGGAAAGGGACCCGTAATTTATTCATTGTGTGGGTAGCATTATGTAGTGTCTAATAAAGGTGAGGTGAGCGGCAAAGTTTAATTAAACACCATGCCATGAAGATGTCTTGGGGAGTGGATGTATAGCTCCTCCATTCTTGACCTTGGCACTAGAAAGAGGTGAATGGTCACTTTACCTCCAGGGTAAGATCCCCAATACCCCTTGGATAGGAGGCTGGGTGGGCCCCAGGGATGGTCTGGATGCTGTTGAGTACAGAAATTTCTCTTGGCCCTACCAGGAATCCAGCCCTTAGCCTATCACTATACCATCTGAGCTCTCTGAGGTCCATATGCAGTATGTGATCAGTTTAATCTTGCTTCCAAGACAATTTTTTTAGTTGGTTTTCAGTTTTTAGGTGTCAGTTTAATGAAATTAATGTGAACAGCCCCAGCACACCATTGTATATGTATATAATTCCATTGGGCCTATTTGAACTGTCAAATGCAGCAACTGATTGTTGGCTTGGCTAGTGGGGCTGCTCCTCTGCTTGTGTTTTGAACAATTGTTTTAAGTTATAAATACCCTTTGTTGACCATTACTCTAATGATCACCCATCATCCTACAGGTACCCCCCTTTAGAAGCAGATTCTGTGCTATTGCATAGATGGGCAGAGGCCAGGAATGTCAACACTGACTATGTCTGGAGGCACTAAACTAACAGCATACCTCCTGTTTCATTTATAATTATAATGAAAATTACTGTCTTCTGCAATGGACACTATGTAGCCTTCTACCAGGATACCATCTGCTGACTACATGACATCAAATTCCAGAAGACTAAATGAACTGTGATTCATTTTCATTTGTGCACACTGTACAACATTAAATTATTGCATTACGGAATGTGATTAATAAAACTGATATGTAAGCACCATTGTTCCATTCGTGGATCAAATTTGATAACATTGAGTGGGGAAAAATAAACTGTAAAATAGAAATAGTTATATAATGAGAAAGTTTTTGATTTTCACATGTCACGTCAAACAACATGGTTGTGCTATGAGTAAATCCATGGTCTTCTGAGATGTGACACCATGCAATCTGGTAGATAGGAGGAACTCAATGCCTCCAACTACCAGACTGCATGATGTCACATCCTGGAAGACCATAATCTTATATTTATTGCTGTGAGAACCTAAAATCTCTTTACAATTTAGTAGTCAGTGGCTCTTCATATTCAGGAAATCCTTGATTCAAATCTTTTTTTTTTCTCTCCAGTATGTCAAGCATTAGTGTGTATATATCCAGTCTTTCCATATCTGCTTTCTTAACTGATCCCTCATTCAGTCTGTCTTTCCTTTTATCTCTCCATTCATTATCCATTTGACATCTTAATTTTGTGTGCACTAAAAGGAATCTTTGCTTTAGTTGTGTGTAACATATCCATACTATTGTATCCTTACTTCACTTTCCTTTACAGTGTTTATACCTTCAGATTTTAATATCCTAGTTTGGGATTTTATCACATTAATAAGAGTGTTCCTCTAAATTTTGAGGAAATATACTACAGCATCTGGCTCAGGATATGGTCCAACAGTGGGCTCTGTAGAACACAGTAATTAACTTACAAGTTCCATGAAAGGTTTGGTAATTTATTGACTAGCTGAGTGGCTGTTAGCTTCGTAAGCATTATGAAACTTGGAGTTATTAATTAATAAGTGTGGCAGTGAATGTCTCAGTTGCCTAGTTAGTTCTCCAGCCTCATGTGTTGGAGATCCTAGGTTATCTTGACTGAGGTTCTTTATGGTTTTCCTCAGTTTCCCCAAGCAAATGCCAGGGTAGTGCTGTAAAATTAGGCCATATTACATTTCTTTTACATGCATTAGAGGAAGGATGTAGAAGAAAACTGGAGAAACTTGAAGGGAAACCTGTTCCAGTGCCATTTGGCCCACCTGTTGCCTGTAATAAAGTCACCTGGTGTTGAACCCAGGCATCTGCTGTGACAAGACATTACCTACCTTAGCTATGGACTGGTGGAAAATAGAAGAAGTATGGCACTTAATTGATGATGGGAAGTAATGACAATTTTCATGTGCCAGAATAATGATTAGCACTTAACAAACTTGGAGTTAAAATGTTCTTTTGTGGACATATAGGAGCAAAGTGATTGTAAAATTCTTTTATGAAATGTAATTTCAATCTGCTATGAATGATTGATGAAATGAAGAAACAAACTGCCCCTGTATCTATTACCATGTTACAGGACAGTAGATTCACAACTGCAGCAGCAAATGAGTGAGTATGGTTAACTTTTGATAATGTTCTGGCCAATTTACTCCCTGGGAAAGAGGCTCAAGTATCTGTTGGATAGGATATACATATATAGTGGGACTTGGAACTGGTCTGGCCACAAGGGCAAGTACAGAAAAATGAGAATGGAACCCTGGTCATTCAACCTATAGTTATCCAATTCAAAATTATGTGAATATGTACAGGATAATCCAAAAGGAGTATCATATTTTAAGACTAGTCAGTATTACTATACACCATGTTAAAAATTGTTCTAACTTGTGATCACCATGGTTGACACAGAGTTTACATCTCTTACTAATATTCTTTCATAGAGGTCATAACACCATTTACTCATGTGTAAACAGCCTCACAAACCTGTAAAAAACTACTGTCCACAGCAACTTACAATCTGACTTAAAACTGTAATGTTACTTTTGGGACACCCTGTGCATCTCTACAGTTATATGTTTATGACTTACAGTTTGCTTTTATCTTGGTTCTCCCCCCCCCCCCAAGTTACCCTGGCCCTATTCGACTGATGACCAAGCACTGTATATTTGTTACTCCCCTGCAGTCACATTCACAAATGGCTCTGATCCTAGCAAGAGCTGCCACAGTTAACTTCAACTGGCATCAAACATAGGATACTTTGTGAGTGTGTGTCTATTATATCTTGTATTCCTGTCTTCAACTGTGATGTAGAAGTGGTCTAGTTTGCAAACTGATTCATCACTTAGTCCATTGCTTCGTGATATTATAGGAACTGTTTTGAATTATTGTGTGTTTTATATTTATTTCCATTTCTTTCTGTAAGGTGCTGGTGAGTTTAATAATCACAGTTATATTGAAGGTTTATGCCAATTTTCCTTTTAGTCCGTTTAATTTTTAAGGCAAGAAACAAAATTAATCTTCTCTGAAATTATATTTCTGCTATTTTAGTGATAACACTATCACTAAGTTATCACTATCACTAAGCACATTCTGTTCTTGTCATTAGGAGGGATTGTTTTTGATTCTAAGAGGGCTTACATCCTGATCTTACATTAAGATATTCCTATTTTAGTTGAGATAACAGATTATGAGCATTTGAAGCCTTAATGGTAAATTAATGCAATGAAGTTTTCTTTGTAATCAGCTGGATTAGAATGGAATTAATTTCCAATATGTTGTAGATTGTCTCTGCTTCCATCATTGGAGATTGAGGGGGCGTCAATCCTTGATAATTAATTTTATACTGACATGGCTAATTTGCATACATAGCATGTATGCATATGTAAATTCTGAATTACTTCCTGAGGCTGTTTGTTTGAGTATTAATTTTATTGGTTATAGCTACATATTTTACGGGAGAAATGGAGGGTGAACATGACAAAGAAGAGTTTGGAAATATGTGCTTCCACAGTCCACACAAAGATAGCAGGTATGGCATATGTTTGTGTTAAAAGGGGATTCAGTCTATGCAGCATGCACATATACAACGCATCAATATTGGTCTCAGAGAAATAGGGAGGAAGGCTGTGGGATTCATGCTCAAGATAGGATTCAGTGGCAAACTCTTGTAAACACTGTGATGAACCTTCAAGTTTCACAAAAGATGGGGATTTTCTTGACTAGGTGAGCAACTGCTAGCTTCTCAAGATTGAATTCAGCCTCACAGGGTTAATTATTGTTGCAGTTGAATAATAATTATAATAACAATAATATACAAATTTGAAAGTTTATTTTAAAACTGACTTATTTGATCAATTTTCCTTATAATTGATGAGTATTATGATATCAACAAGGAAAGCAACCATATTCTATGTGACTTCTACTTATCTCAGATATAAATTATCTGCTCTCCAGTTTTGTACTTTCTGTATCTTGTTTCCCAGGGATCCACACAGCAGGACAGACAGAATAACAGACTCTGTATCACCAACACATATGTCCTCTCCATCAGCTGACCTTCCTCTGTATGAGACCAGCAAAAATGGCACATCATTGGCTCCTTCATTTTCATCAGAAAATATCAGACTAGGCAAGTACCAGTGATTGCTACTGATTAACTAAATAATTATCTGATAATAATGCCTAAAGGCACAGTGCTAGTACATTCCTGAACCAGTTCACAGTCATCTAACTTACTTCCTAAGAAGCAGTTTAGCATTATGTATTTATATTCTTGGTCTAACAAATACTCACGTTTCAGCAGCATATCCAACAAAATTATATATAAATATGAATATAATGTTGTTTTTCCCCTTTCATCGTCCTTGATGTAATTATAAAATAATGTTAAGTGATGAATGTAAATCGTGTAATTTAAACAATCATCTTGTTACTTTCTGTCTTGTAGGTCCAAATGTTATCCTCAACACTTCATCCCCAGTCACCCTTACACTCTAGCCAGCATAGAAATGTTTTGTTTATTTATAGTTATTTAGAATTCCTGTTAATAGTATGTAGTGTCAAATGATAGGATGATTAGTGACTCATAAATTGGAATGGACATGGAAGTGCTCATGGCCTAATTTGAGATATTGTTCTTGCATACTCTGAGGGGGAGACTGAGGGAAACCACGAAAATGTCAGCCATAATACCTCCAAACTGAACGGGTTAGTGTAGCCGTAACACTTGGCTGTCTTGACTGAGATTTTAGTCGTTTTTCTTAGCGCCAAATTCTAGAATAGTGCCTTGATTAGGGTAATACTGATTCCTTAGAGATCCTTACCAAATTATGTTAAATAGCCCATAAATAGTAATAAATCTCTTTGTCATGCTGAGATTTGAACCTTGGACTACCCAAATACAAAGCAAGAGTTGTGCCCACTTGACTGCAATGTCTGGTAGCATAAACATTGAATGGTACAAGAAGTTGATGAAGAACATTAACTTTGGTGGGATGAACAAACGGTCATGTCACATTTAAAAGTGTGAAAAGAGAGAAGGTGATGACAAGATTTCAGTCAAGATAGCCAGTGCAACAGCTGAGGTTATGACCGGGCATGTCCTGAGTATAACTCACATTTGTTAATACTTGAGCTAACGTACTCTGCTTTCTTGTCAGTATGCATCAAGTGTTACATGTCTGTCACAGGAAAAGAAGATGAGAGGCAAGTTGCATTCCCAGCAGCTACAGATTTGTCACATTCAACTTCAGATCGAATTCGCAACATTGCACTGAGAAAATTGCAACTTAATGGGTATGTTTAAAATTATTTGTATGCTGAGAACCCTGCTTCTTGTTCTTCCTAAAAGCAATCGTGAAGCAAGATGTAAGATTACAGTCTTCAGGGATATGATACTGTGTAGTTTGATGGATAGGTACCAATGCTCCAGGGGCAAATGGAGATAGAGGCAGGAGATTCCTCCAGAATTTTGGTAGCTATGTATCAAACCACACAGCATCACATTCCAGAAGACAGTCTTAAACACATTCCATGAGGACCTCATATCTCTCATCATTTCATACTTTTTCCATTGATTATCTCTCTTCTCCACATCATCCAGACCAGCTCTGGGGCCCACCCAGCCTCCTATCCAATGGGTACAGAGCGTTCTTTCCCCGGGGGTAAAGTGGCAGGGGTGTGAAACTGATACCTCCAACTAGTGCTGAGGTCAAGAACATGTGGATCTAGACATCCACTCCCNTATGTTAATTATTTAGTCAGTCAGTAGGTTAATCACATAGTCAATAAGTGTATTAAGACTAATGCTTTAGCATTAGTCGGTCAATGAATTAACTGTTTCATTGGTCATGAGTTATTAATCAAAGTTAACTGTTTAGCTAGTAAGACAGTTAGTGCACTAATAAGTCTGAGTTGCTTATTTAGTGGGTTAATTGTTTAGTCAGGCACCGAATTCATTAATCAATGAGTCAGTTATTGAGTTAATTGGACACTGATCTAACTGTTCAATGAGTGAGTGAGTTAGTGTACTAGTCAGTCAGTGAATCAATGGTTTAGTTAGTGAGATAACTGCTTAGTTGGTAAGTGTGATGGCTTGTAAGCCAGTGAGTGAGTTGTTTCCTTAGATAATTATCTAAGGAAACAACTCACTCACTGGCTTACAAGCCATCACACTTACCAACTAAGCAGTTATCTCACTAACTAAACCATTGATTCACTGACTGACTAGTACACTAACTCACTCACTCATTGAACAGTTAGATCAGTGTCCAATTAACTCAATAACTGACTCATTGATTAATGAATTCGGTGCCTGACTAAACAATTAACCCACTAAATAAGCAACTCAGACTTATTAGTGCACTAACTGTCTTACTAGCTAAACAGTTAACTTTGATTAATAACTCATGACCAATGAAACAGTTAATTCATTGACCGACTAATGCTAAAGCATTAGTCTTAATACACTTATTGACTATGTGATTAACCTACTGACTGACTAAATAATTAACATACTGCTTAATAAATTCACTGACTGAATAATTGAACAAGTAACTCTAAGATTCAAGGGTTTCAAGGTTCAGTCCAGTTCAAAGATTCTTAATCAACATTTTTAGTATTCTTCTTAACCATGACTTGTTAATAAAATATGTTCTCGATGCTGTAGAGTTGGAACCGTATGACTGCCAAGTGTGCACCAGCAGTTTCTGTTCCAAGAATTCACTCAAGCTTCACTACATGGTGAAGCACATCAGAAAGAGGATGGCATGTGATGTATGTGACAGGAGATTCTCTGACCCCAGACTGTTCAAGAGCCACAGGTTTTTTCACGAACTTGAGTCGTATGTTTGCAGTGTCTGCAGTGAACAGTTCAGTGAATTCTTTGGCTATAAGAAGCACATGAGATCACATAAAGAGGTTAAGTACATCTTCCTGATTGTTGTTGTTGTTGTTGTTGTTCTACAGCCCTTTGTTGGGCCTTGGCTGCTTCTTCAGTTTCTTGATCCTATACATGGTAAGACTCCTTAGATGGGGGATCAGCCTGTCATAAGGTTTATACCTACACATAGAACAACACAAAGACAGAATAAATGCACACAATACAGACATCTATGCCTTGAGTGGGATTGGAGCCCATGATCCAAGCCTTCGAGTGAACAAAGATGGTTCATGCCATAGACAGTGCAGCCACTGTGATCGGTATACCATTGATTAGCAGTGCATTATAACTGTCTGGGTGTACCAATGAGTAGGCTGTGAATTAGTGGCTACTCAAAGAATCTACTTTGCTGTTTCATATGCATGCTGCAGGCAGCCCAAGAATAAAATGATGGCAAGAATATGTGAGTGTAAGAAAGAGGATGGAGATGATTACATAATGAACTTCATAATTTGTGCTCTTATTATGTGATATGTGAGTGCGTGTGCACACATATGCAATTAGAGGATGGACCATTGAACTCAATGATAAATTGAAAATATTGATGCAAGAAACCTGTTTGTTATTTGCTGTCTTTTTCCAGAGATAGCCATTCCTTATTAGAAGAAATACAAATACAACTTAGAATGGTATTATCTAAAGAAATAGTATAGTTTAGAGGTTTGTTATAATAAGGAGTGATGTGATTCATGCATATTTAAGCTGTAACATTGTTGCTATTCAGAAACAATGTATGGTGTAGCATCAGTAATTAAGGAACTGTCAAGAATGACCACAATATCTGTAGCTGACTACACATTACATTAATAGATCAATTTTATTCCCAGAAAGTAATGATGTTGACCACATCAGTGAGGTTCTTAACAGTCTTGACAGACAAAATAAGTGTAGATCCCATTCTATATAACCTTCCTGCAAAGATAAGCACAATAGACCACTGTAGGTCACGGTGCAAGGGTCAAGAATGCCTACCCCTCATGCATTCATACATTCCTGCAAAGATATATTTCCTGGTTGAGTTTAAAGTCACGTTTAAGATATTCCTCTTTATCTTCTAGTACAATACTGTTGAGGTGATTAATGGCATTATGTATACCTACACGCCAGAAAGGATCATATTATTATGTCAGTCAATGTGCTGAAAATTAAGAGGCGGCATATACAGATAGAATTTACTCAAATATGGCCTGTTGAAATAAGAAATAAGCTGAAAATAATAGAACAGGAATTTTGTTTGTTATAGGGTTTCTTGTGATGAGCCTGGATAGCATAGTCGGTTTAATGACTGGCTATGGGCTGGACAACTGAGGGGTCAGAGTTCAAGTCCTGGTGGGGGTGAGAATTTTCTCTTCCCCAAGTCATCCAGACTGGCTCTGGGGTCCACCCAGCCTCCTATCCTATGTGTACCAGGGGCTCTTTCCCCAGGGGTAAATCAGCCTGGGTGTGAATCTGATCACTCACCTCCAACTAATACAGAGGTCAAGAAAATGTGGATCTATACAGCCACTCCCCCATACGCCTTCATGGCATAGTGCTTAATTAGTTAAGCACAGGGACAATTTTACCTTATAGGGTTTCTTATTCCGAAAAAAAGCAATTTCTTATTAGAAACAACAGACTGTTGAGTACTTCATCACTTACTGTATAAATTATGTTCATGCAATGTGTGATTGCTTAACTGTTTGTGTGTGTGTGTGCACATGCTTGCTTGCATGTTTAGAGGAAAAAATGTGACTGTTTCTTGCCATGGATTTTCTATAAAAAGATAGAAGTGTTTAAAAATAATGGAGGTTTGGTTTTATCTCCCATGAACTCTTCATTATTTTATTGCAGCATCATAAGCTCAACAAATGTGGGTTCTGCTTGAAGGGGTTCTACACAAAGAAGAGGTACTGGCAGCATATACAACGCCACAGTAGCAATAGTAAGAGGTTTGACTGCAGCAGATGTAATGAGACCTTTGTGATGGAGAGTGTACTGGAAGATCACTGGAATTCCCATGTGGATCAGCTGCCACATTACCTGTGCACGGCATGTCAGGCAATTTTCACACAATTTGTTAATGAACTTCAAATCTGTAATTGTACATCCTACATGGCATGTCATAATGTTAGTTCTTTTTCTAATATTAGCCTTTCTCTCATGCATAAATATAGTGCCCATGAAGAATCATCATAGCATTAAGATAAGTGCTGAATTTCTACATGATAAGTCTCAAGTTTGAGCCTTGTTTACATAAATTTTCCGTCGATAATGTAACTATTTATTTCTTCATTCACATTTGCTTTCGCTATTAACACAACATGTTTCGGCCCCAAATGGCCATCCAGGTGTCCCATTATGCCAAATCTGCTACACTGCATAATGGGACACCTGAGGATGGCCATTTGGGGCTGAAACATGTGTTAATAGCGAAAGCAAATGTGAATGAAGAAATAAATAGTTGCATTATTGATTGAAAATTGTATGCAAACAAGGTTGAATATAGTAATGCAACAGGATGCTTAAATACAAGATCTCAAGTTTGAGACTGACCAGATCCAGTGTCGAATTTTCCAAATAAATTTCCTGTCCTCCTCTCTGACATATGTAACTGGGGAATACCAAGCCACCACCTGGTTCTGTAGCCCCTCTTCAAATCATTCTCTTCGTCCACTGATGAGTGTTTAAGAGTCTGCCCAATAGGTTTGCCTACTTCGGAAATAGACATAGCTGAGGCCAGGCAATAACTGGAGGCTCCAGTCACAATGTATTAGCCTTCTCATGCTTACTAGGATATTTTTCCCCACAATTTACCCAAGATTTAATCACCAGCCAACTAATCAACCAACCAATTCACCATGGAGAAGAGTGCTTCTTGAGGAGGTAATAGTTGCTCAGCTAGTCAAGAAATTATGATCATTTTTTAAAATCTGAAGATTCATTCCTGTGGTCACAAGAGCCCACAGCCGATCCCTATCACGAACCAGACAAATCCAGGCCACACCTTCCCATCATATTTCTCTAATACAAGTTTTGATTTTATCCTACACATCCAACATTGTATGGAACCTGAACGTTCATTACTTGATGCCGTTCTCTGTCTGGAGCTGGATGAATCCAGTCCACACCTCCCATCATATATTTTTAAGCTATATTTTATTATTATCATCCTGTGAGTGCCTAGGTCTTCCCAGTGATCCCTTTTCTTCAGGTTTTAATACCAGAATAGTGTATGCACTTCTGTTCTCCCCCATGCATGTTAAATGCCCTGCCTATCTCATCATCTTTGCATTTTCATGCATTTTAACTAATTCTAGTTGTTAATATGATTTTCCCCTCTGCTGCTGGATGTCCCAGGACATTGACTAAACAGCTGTCTTAAGGTTCATCCCTGTCCACAGTCTAATGCTGAAATTGCTTCCTGCAAACAGGGCTGTGATTGGCTGTACTACACAAAGAAGAAGCGCTTCACACATTGGCGTACTCTACAAAAGTTGTCGGGGAGATCTGTCAAGAAATTATTGAAGACTTTCAAGCAGTCAAAACAGTTTCCATGGAATGTGACTGTTAGTATCTGAAATCGTGGCCGTCCAATAGCTCTCTGTTTCTTTATATGCATGTAGTCCATTACATAGTAAATTTATCACGCCTTAAAAATAATTTATTCCTGATTATATGTATCTTAAAGGGCTGTTGTATATTTTTCATATTTTGGAACTTCATATATCAATAAATATTCCAGTAAATTCCTTTGCGTTTTGCTAATGACAGTTATTGTAATTGTAGAACTGCACTGTAATATCTATGTCCTACAGTCCTTTGTTCGTTACACATGGAGCATGCTATTTTATTGACATATTAATGTATATTGTCACATGTATGTAGTGAATATAGACCGGGTTTGGATTGGTAATCACATTTATTGAACACTTACAGAATATGGCTACAAATAGCTATGACAGCAATGGCTGCTGTGCAGTCCCCTGTTCACGGTCGCTGCCTAGCAACAGATCTACATGCCACAATATTACACTGATTGCCACATCTTACATTGTGGTGTGATTTAATGTTAGTTTTGGTTAAATGTAAGGTATGAAATATGAAAAGACACTATGGAGTTACATCTCTAGAAATATTTTGATTACGAATATGATATGCATGGGCACCATCAGGAGTGACTTGAACTGAGTACACACGAATCATTCCAATTATTCACCAAACATGTCCTGTAGCTGCCATGATCCTCATTTATTAGAACAACACAACACAACATTTCTGCACAATATGAAAGTTGTTCTGTTACTAGTAAATAAAGATCCATGTCTACTGAATGGTAACCTCGGATTTTGATTTGATACCACTACAAGACCTGAATTTCTAGTTTTGTGTTTGGGCGTGAAATTAGATCTGGATGCTAAACTGTGTTACCTGTATGTATGTATGTATGTAT